TCACGTTTCTTAACATGTTTCAGCTGATTTGGCATGAAATTGAAACATCATCACTATTTAGCCTAAGGATCTTAAAATACTTCGTAAAGTCAATATGTTTCAACGCATTTCTTCAATGTTCCAATTTTATACACACGGCTCCTGTCGAGCAATGAGTTCATCCTTTTTGTCTTAATCCAAGACACCAGGCAGAGGTTACTGACAGTAAACTTGGCCATTTCAAATACTTAGAATTTTTCGATGTGTCTGCCAAAAATTTTATTCTCTTTCAGTCAACCAAGGAGTTATCAAAAAATCTAAGCAGTCGGCTCCAACAAAGGAACTTTTCTCTCTTCTATTTAACGAAAACGACGAGTAACCATTTTGATATAAGTGATAAGATTGTCTGAAGAGGAGCGTGGGCAATGCAAAGGAAAAGGTTGCTCTTGTCACCCTCACAGTAGGCAAAATGCAACACAATGTGAAGTATGTGTTCCGGTTTAAGGTTGTGAATGTATCACTGATTTAACAAATCACTAGCGGACAGGCCAGACGTCTTCGATACAACTAGGTGTTTACCGTCGTGTTTACTACTTAGATTGACGAAGACGTTTACTATATGGGTTCACCGTCCGTTATGAAAAGGTTCAGTATATCGAGTTTCCTGAGACAGTTGAGTAAAAGAACACAACGGATAAATGCCTCACAGAAATTTGAACGCAAATTAGCCAAAGAGAGCAAGGGAGAGATACACTTCGGTTTTAGCTTTGTCTTTGAGCGACAGCCACAAATGACTTAGAAAAAAAAAACTCAGAATTTTGAGGTGTCAGAAGACAATGTATCATGTGTTCGATGTGTTTTTAAAAGGAAAGGTTTATTTTGTTAACTTTGGTTTATTTGAAACGCAAATAATTCAAAACTATTACCAAGTATGTTGTGAGATTTGCAGCTGCAGAAAAAGTTTCGAACAGGTAGTCATAACTGGGTGGTGGCTTTTAAGGATTAGTTTCAAACGTTTACGTAAAAAACACACGCGAAAGAATTGTTCTTAGCTAAGCTTAGTCTCCAACACAGACTTGAAAAGATTGTACATCACAAGAGACATTCCAACATGAAAGTGACATTGTAGGGTTGTGAATGTTCTTAATGTTCCATCGAAACCGAAAACTTAGTCAATGAAGTTTAAAAGCAATTTTCACAGTACACAGGTATGCACTTATTGGCTTTAGTTACTGAACAATATCAGTCTTAAAAAATAAGTGAAAATATTTCAGTATGACAGCAAGATGGTGAAAACGTGTTGTTTTAGTAAAACATGTGTTCGGGTACTCGAAATTTTGTGAAAAATACTCCTGTTTACACATGATTTTCATATTTTGTTTAGGACACTTCGGTACGCAAGTACACGCTGAGAAACTAGCTTGCCTTTCAGCCACTTAGTATAGCTGCTAGACAACAGCTTTTTCAGACTTTTATCTTTAGACCCAAAAGTTCAACTGTGCAATTAACCGGAGCACATGAAAGTATATAGAGACAACAGCTTCTGCCTTGTTGTCTGGCGTTAAGTCGAAATTAGAACCACGTTTTACTTTGTAGAACTCAGCACAATATGGCTTGAGGTGACACATCACGTTGTATGCTCGTGTTCGAGAAATTATGTCTCTAATCGTATCGACGTATCCTATATCTTTGATCTTCTTCTACTGAGGCGAAGAAAAGTTCTTTAACAACAATAACATCCATCTCAGTTACAGCAATACGAGGCAGTGCACAGCTGCCAACCAAATCCGTAATTGTAATTAATCTTTGAAGTAAGCAACCTACTTAGTTCAGTCACGTTTCTGGCGATGTTTTTTTTCTTTTTTATCAGGATGATTGAAGATTGTTATGGTTTGCAGTATCATATTAAAGCCACAAAAAGATTATACTTTTATGGGGCAATAAATGTTTAATCTTGTTCTTTATAATTGGATAAATATTAACCTAAAACCTTTCGACAGAGCAAATTAATTGCAAACGACAAAATTTCTTGACGCTAATGTTCTCAATCTAATCTTTGTAAACCCACTTCTTAAATGATGGAAGCCAAAGAAAAATAAGCTGAACTGAATTTGAAAGGCGAAGATTTCTCAGGTGTCTGCGTTTCATTATTTGGTTCAAGACGGCGGAACGGACGGAAATAAAAATAAATCAAAGAGATCATGATTGATAATTTTCGCGCAGTGTAATGTTGCAGTGTAATATTGCATATATGACATGTGAAATGTGATCTTCTAGGACACTTTTTACGACGCCCTCTTCAAAGAGAAGGAAATTGCACGAGATTCTCAGGCCTTTTACATCCCATCCTCAAAAGTTACACCCAACAATCGATAAGATTTCAGCTTTCTTTACTCGACCAAATTGACAATCGTCGCGAATGACAAGAAGAATAAAGTGCGCGCACGCCAGTCTACCGCTTATGTTGCAGACTTCACGACTGTCTGAAAATTTTGACTCCGTCTGCCACAATACTAACTCACCACGATCGCTACATTTGTATTTCCGAGCACAAGGAGCATCACGTTCGCATATGCAAACACCGAGATCATGATTCTGTAAGTGCGCTAAGTTAGAGTCCCAGAGCACTAGGACGCGCGTGCGATTGATATACCCTCATATGAGGACGTTACGAAATAAACCGTTATGGCACGGAAAGGGCAGTCGCTTATCCAAGACCCAAGGCGCCAATGAAAACATAAAACAATTAATTGAACGGTGTATGTAATTGTTTAAAAGAGGCAAAGTTTACAGAGGTGAACCTTCTTTGGGGCATTCAAATACATTTGGTGTTGGTCAGTTGAAAATGGCCTCGAGAACTATTTCAGTTTTATCTTGCATTACACAGTTAGGAAGCGAGTTAAGAGATCGCCGTCATTTCCTTTGACTTTCACATTTCACACTTCACTGTTTAAGTTTGTGGTTTTCTAGTTAAGCCGAGGTTGTTGTAAATGTTTCTTCTAGTTGTTCTTAGTGACCTAAGGGGCAATATTTGCACTCAAAGGTATTTCTAATTTTAGCCGAGATCAATCGCAACCAACATTTCGTACAACACGATGTCATCTAATGTCTGCACTCGTCTTTACCAAACACTTAAATACATAAATTCTAAAATCTGACACGGTTGTACATTACCTTGCAGAGATGTTTATCCTTCACTTCAGCCGTATGAATGGTTTGTCAGTGGCTTCCGAAAGAACAGCACCAAGCAACGTTCAAGGAATATTATGTTGCTGAGTGTAATATGATCGTACCAAGGTTCACCGATATCTCGTGACCAGACTTCTTAATCTAACGGAAACGATGATCTAAAAGCATAAATGCCAGCGCGAACGCAACTGCATAACATAGGATAAAAACTGAGATCTGCTTCCCTAATAAAACAAGGTAAAGGAAGATTAATGTAAATTCGAGGCTGATCGCTTCATTCTCTGCTCTGATTAGGCATTTAAAGCCCCGTAAGAGGAGATCGCATTCAAACGTTTATCCGCGACCAAAGTCGCGAATGCAGACGTGTAAAGTTCTGTGCGATAAAAATAATTGTTTTTCCACTTTGGGGTAACCATCAAAGCGACCTTCACAAGTTTCTTGTTGACCTAATATGATGATGTAAAAATGTCAAAAGATTTTATCGGTTGAAACCTCATCTGCAACCCTCTCTATGTTGTTTTCTCGCTAATTTTGGGTCGGCGTCAAAAGCTTTGATCCGACCTATACCGTTAGGTTATTTCTCGATAATCCTTTGCGGAAGTATGTTTTTATGGTTCTTTATCACGGGAAGCAAAGCCTGAAAACTGATGCCAAACATTCTATTCATTTCATCCTTGAGCTAGATTACTAAATTGAAATAAAAAATCATACAAAATTCTCGTGAGTTTTGTTTTCACTTATGAAAACCCCACAAAATTCAAGGATGCCTATCATGAGAATTAAACTATTAATGAACTTTGTCACGCGAACCCTCCAATAGCCTGATCGAATGATTTCGTCGCGGAAGCCAGTGAAAAAAGGCGCATGCGTGTGTCTTATCACAACCCACATGGTACTGCTTAACGATCTTACCTTGTCTAAAAGTTCATATGGAGCAAACAGACAGCGTTTTGAAACATAACGTCCGTGAAGCAATGAGTCCACGTTGTATATCTTCGGGTGTAAGGGCCAGATACAATAAAACAGGAATTGGAAGCACATCAGTGTAGGCAAGTATGTATTTTGGACAATTCGTAAAAGTGAACAAGATTCCTACTGGTGAGAACACTTGTCCCGGCTGCGAGAACGGAAATGGCCTCGTTCCGTTCATCAGCTCCCCATCGTTATACGATGTTTACGGTCAGTTGTATCTTACGTCATGAGAAAGTAATTGTTCTGTTGCCAACACTTAGATGTCAACACTTTCTTCAAGGAGTTCGTACGATCGTAGAAAACTCGGAAGTTTGTGGGGCACGTGGTTTAATTACCAAGAAAAGTTTACTTTGGCGAGATCTCAATTTAGCTGACGTTTTTATTAGATTTCTTTCTTAAATTATCATCTTCGTCCTGAATAATTCAATCTATCATTTCTTAATCCTTTTAATGGAATCCCTCTACTTTAAAAGTAAAACTTTAAAACTGTAATACTACAATAGAGCATAGATTTAGTTACATACTTCCGAAAGGCTGGCTGTGGGTTAAAATGTCCTGCCTAGGAAAAAAAAGAATTGATAAGAATTGACAACCTTGAGACAGTCTGCGAGTGCGGTGGCTCAGTTTACACTGAAGGATCATCTCAACGTTTTCTTCCTGATTTGCAGCCCGATATTTTCCTTCAGCGAACTAGGAAATTTTTAACTTCAATCTGCAGATCTGCAGACTGAAATTAATTACTTTGTGAACCGTATTGTTTAAATAAAAAAAAAAAGTGGGGAGGGTGGACAAATTACCTTGCTGATTCTTTGCACTATATCAAAGAAATAATTAGCTTTTGGATTTCAATTTATTGGCAAGATTGTGCGTACCTTGTTACAAATTCAAGAGGAATTTTTTCGGATTTATCATTATTGCTGTATATTCATGGCAGATGGGGAAAGAAACAACTAATCAAGATGTTTTCTTACTGGTGATTACACCAAAATTTCGACGATCAAGGTTTGTACGGTTTTTCAAAAAATGAGGGGGAAATGGTAAAGTAAGACTTGTACTTGATGCTCCAACTGAGCTCAGGATCGAGAATTGACCAAGCTGTTATAGGATTCAAGGAACAGTTGATATCGATCCCATTCTTTGTGGTACAAAAATGCTCCATAAATTAAAACGCAGCTGTTAACCTGCCGGCGATACAGGGCAACCAAAGTGTATCGCAGACAATTAAAAAATTCTAAGTATCGTTCAAGCAATCTCGATGATAGAAATATTCTCACAAAGAAAGAAAAAAAACACGTTTACAGAGGGTCTCAATAGGGTTAACCGTGAGCCGGAAAACAGCCAAAAATTAGCCGTCAGGTGTAAGCAATTGACAAATTTAACACTATAACCCCTAAGAGTGACTAACATCTTGATTCTCCTTACAAAATCACCCTTGAATCAAACATTAAGGTCATGAGAATAAAGGAAATGATCACCAACTAAAGAAGCTCTTGATAGTAGAACAAATTCTCCTTGACAGAACCCTTGGAAATGTCTAGGGAGTAGTAAGGAGAATACGGATACTGATGTTAGTCGTAAAAAGAAAACAACCGTAAAACAATTTATGGAGACAACAATGGGAAGATATCAACCGTTAGCCCAAAATTGGCCAAAATTTTAACCGTTAGCCGTAAAAGCCATCACTCCATTGAAAACATCTATATAGTCTTAGATATTCGTATCTTGATGGAGTTATTTTTGCCCGTTTACTAATTTGCGCCCATCAATTGAAAAAGTTATCTACAGCTGCTTGATCTACTAACTACTGTTACGATTGAAAAACGTTTTTGAAAGTTACGCTATATAAACGTGAATTGCATAGCCCGCGAGAATAGGTAGGTTTCCTAGTCAATTTTACGTTACAATGAATCAGTCCACTTCCCATTGTTTGAACTGAGCTGAGCTGATGCATAAAAAAGCCTTCTTGTCTCTATACATCAGCCAGTTTTAACCATTTTTCATACAGTTCATCCTTTTCTTTTCGGAGCTCTGCCATCTTCACTCGAAGCTCACTCAATTCTGTTTTCATCTCATCACAATCTCGTTTTATCTCTGCCGCTTTGTCTTCATTAATTGAGTCAATATTTTTCTCTGTGCAGAGTCTGGTGTCCAAGAGTTTTTGATATTTATTTCCGTCAGTACGAATATTCTTCTGGTAATTCTTAATGAGCGATTGCAACGACTGACAAGAATTTTGCAGCGCGTGGGATTCTTCCTTCAACTTACACTCCGCGATGTTAAGGAAATGTATGAGTGCCTCTACGCTATCGATGATTATCGCACTGGAGGGATCTAGTTCACATGTCCTACGATAGTATTGAACAAGAAAACCAAAATCACCACGAATTTTGCTCAGTCTTGTCACTACATCCAAGAAACGAGTGAGCTGATCACATGCCTGGTCTAGTTGTTTCTTTCTTTCGCTTGAACTTCCACCTTGAGGAAATTGAGTCCAGGGTTTTGGTAATATTTCCTTATGACTATTCCTTAAAGGAGCAGCGTCCGTGTTGACGGGGGCGGCCCTGTTCTGATTCAGACTGCTGCTGACTGACTGAGCAGATGGCTCAGGAATATCAACGCTGTTGCTCATAGAGGACCCTCTCACAGTGGCAAAATGAAGACGTTGCACCAAGGGATACACAGGAGTTGGTTGTGGCGCCACAGAAACACACTGAATGCTAGGTTGCTGCCAGCCTGACGGTGAAATGAAAGGGATTGCTACTAGAGGATAAAACCGCTGGAGACTTGCTGGGGGTGTTTGAGGCGGCACCGTATTCACAGTAACAGAATTTCCTGATTGTGGCAAACGGCTTTGCTGTGCGTTGACAACTTCTACTGGCCTGACGTTTGAAGACGCCATACTGTGGGATGGTGGAAGATTACCTGAAGGATGCATGTTTGGGCTGCTCAACGGCACGACGATGGAATTCCCTGTATGTGCCGTGGTTATTGCAGGCCTGACATTTGAATACACCACACTAAGGGATGGTCGCAGATTACCCGAAGGATGCATGCTTGGGCTGCTAAAAGGCATGACAATAGGGTACATTGTTTGTGCCGTGGTTACTGCTCGCCTAACGTTTGAAGACGTCATATCTGGAGATGTTCGCAGATCGACCGGAGGAAACAGTTTGGGGCTACTCAAAGGCATGCAGACGGAATCCCTTGTACGTAACGTGGTTACTGAGGATGACAAACGGCATTGTTGTTTTTTGACGTCTTCCACTTTTACTGGCCTCACGTTTGGAGAGGGTGCTCTAACAAAGGGTTGCAGACTATCTGGGTTGCTTAAAGGCGCGACAATGGGATTTCCTGTTTGCACCGTGGCTATTGAGGAAGGCAAACGGTAATGTTGTGCGTTGGCGTCTTCTAATTTGACAGGCCTCACGTTTGAAGACGCGTCACTAGGAAATGGTCGCAGATTGCTCGAAGGATGCATGTTTGGGCTGCTCGATGGCGCGACAAAAGAATTTCCTGAATGAGCCGTGGTTATTGAGGATGGCGAATAATACTGTTGTGCGTTGGCGTCTTCTACTTTCACTGTCCTCACGTTTGGAGACGCAGCACTAGGAAATGGTCGCAGAGTTGCCGAATGGTGCATGTTAGGACTACTGAAAGACAACGAACTCATCTCTTTTACAGTGTTTATTTGAGTAACTACATCATGAACCTTATGAGGCACACTATCTGATGCTGACGTCTTTCTGTAATTGGATGCCTCAGAAGAAACACAAGAAAAAGACGATTCTTCATTGGCCGTAGCTGAAAATGTCCGGTTACAGTTATTTTTACTCGCTTGTTGAGGTATTACCCCAGGTAATAACAAGCCATGAGAGGATCTTTGTTGTTTCAACGGACGGCTTGGCATTTCAGGAGGAACTGCGTAACGCTGATTACTATCTGAATGGCTGGAATTTTCACCACTGCCAGTTACCAACCTTGATGAGAGCGTAAGGCAAGGAGTGGCCACTTGAGAAGTCGGTGTTGCCATGTGCATTGGCTGCTGCAATTCTCCCTCTCCCAGGAAACAAGTAACTTTGTCTGCAGGCATGTTCGAAGACACTTTACCTTTATTCAATGCAACAGGCATAGAACCTAGAGAGAAAAGAGAGAATAGAAATGTAAAGTAAGAAAAATAATTCTAAATCAACAAAAGATATCATTGAATGGGAAGAAGAACCATAGTAAATAGTATAAGAGAGATGGTAACTTTTGAGGTCGGTAAAGAAATAGAGAAAGATGTTTTTCGTCTTGTCACGAGCGTGGGACAAAGAAAAAATTCAGAGTCCCCGTGAGGAATCCAACATCAGAGGTTCGCATTCCGCGCACCTATGCTCTACTACCGAGCAACAGAGACTCTAATGTGAGCGAAGCCTATAACGAAGTTCATATGACACGAGTCCTGCATACTGCTTGAATCAGCATATGTCGATAGCGTCATGTTCGTAAATAGAATAAGAGAGAAGAACCACAGTGCCCTTAAATCCTGGGTCAAACAATTGAGTTAACCAATTGGAAAATAGTACAGTCCATTTTAAAAAATATCCTTTTCTCTACTGACCAGGACGGGATCTTGCAAGATTCTTCTTTCTTCCAGCGCTAACACTCATTCTTGCCGCGTTCTTTACCCTTGGATCACGTCGCTTGACTTTATCGCATCTCTCTCCACTTGTGCACCCAAGACAGGTACTAGAACAACACCTGCTTGTAATCAAAATTCGTCTAGATTTCCTCTGTGTGGAGTCTCCTGACACATCATGACCCACTCTCTTCTTGCCAAGGTGTTTTGCAGCAGATGGCAAATACTGTATTGAAAATCCAACATTCCCTGGCAATGGAATACACTTTCCAACATCAATTTCATCCAACACAACCTTGAAGTCACGTATCTCTCGGTTCAGACTTGAGCGCAATGTGTTCTGTTTTATGAAGGTATCCACAGACACGCCTTTATCAGCTTTTTCCCTTCTGCTGTTCATTATTGCTGGACAGTCTGTCTACCCAAGACCTAACAGGCTTTTTAACTGTTGAGTGTAAAGACAGTAAATGAAACAAAAACTAATTTGAATAATAATAGTACTAATTATAGCAATAATAATGTTAATGGTAATAATTTTAAAAAATGATGATAGTAAAAATAATAATAATGATAGTAAAGGTAAAGAAAATAATTACAAAAATTATCATGATGATAACAATAATATCACTTAGATTGATTTCTAATCATCTGTGATGGTAATGGACTAAGTGGAGTCTAATTCGGTCTGAAATCATACCAGTGATAACAGCTGTATAACAATAACAGTATTCACCATTAATATTAAAGGTAAAAATAAACTGTCATCATTCATTTACTAAGAGAAATAAGCTTCGAAACTGTTGTTGTAAATATGCGAAAAATCTTATAAGTATTCTTATCATCCAATTTATTACTATGAGAATAGTGTAATAGGGTTTTCATGGGGATGCTTTTAAAAGATTTCCAAGCATTTGAAAGTAGATTTTACTAATAAACAATACTTATACATTGTAGGGAAATAAGATCGAGTAGCTATCGTATATAAAATGAAATTACGTGTGCACCTTTCATTTGTCCCAAACTTCGAGAAAAAAAATACATCTGGTGCTGGTCCTTCGAAATTAAAAAATGCTGTAGGGTTTTTAAGCATATCTTTGCGATAACAAGGATTCGATCGCCTGTTTAGAGATTTGGTCACTCGCTTCTGTCGAACTACTCAACATAATAAACTCAGCAATACAAAGATTTTTTCTAAGTAATACGCAACAGCTAATACTCAAGACATACTTACGCACCAAATACTTCTCGAGACTACAATAGCCATTTGCGAACCATTCGAAAGGATCGACAAGATATATCTATGCTTCTGGATAATATGTAAAATGGCGGTCAAAACAGTTTGTAGTTCCCAGGAGACATCGAGGAAAGCTCGAACAGATGTCAAGGGTGCCTTTGTCACGCAACACAACAGGTCACTTTCTCACCACCTCTAGTAGGATTTGCAAAATTTGATTTGCCTCTTTTATTTTTAATTCAGACTGAGTTCCTATATGAGTAAAAAAATAAACAGGTAAATCAATTAAAAAAATCAATCAATCGGTGAATACAGCCGCGGTGTCATGACAGAGTACTAATTTTTCCTTTGACTTTACATCTGTTTTTTTGTTGTTGTTGTTCGTATGCGTTTAATATTGCATGTGCTCAGCTTGTGTGTCTCCTGCACTCACAAATCAAGCAAAAGAACTTACGTAAATGAGAGTTACAATTATCTTCCCATAGTCCCGTATAATTATACTAGCAACGTGGCCTCTCTTTTCTTCTGACGTCACCTTGCGCAACAGCAGGTACCCTTAAAAATTTCAACAAAGCCAACATGACAAATGAAATTTTATTTTCATGGATATGGAAATTAGCTCATGATTTGCCACAGATAAGGCAGTTACAACTAAACCATTGAAAAAATATTGCTTTAACGAGCAGAGTCAAGCGTACTTATATATTTTCCTGATGAATGCGGATTACGATTATTTGTTTAAACTTCTCCTGATAGGGGACTCCGGCGTTGGAAAATCATGTCTCCTGATCCGCTTCGCAGACGACACGTTTACGGACAGTTTTATAAGCACAATAGGAGTGGACTTCAAAATAAGGACCATAAATGTTGAGGGAAAAATCGTTAAGTTACAAATTTGGGACACTGCTGGACAAGAGCGCTTTCGCACGCTAACGACAGCTTATTATCGAAGCGCACACGGGATCATCATGGTATATGATGTGAATGAAAAGGAAACTTATTTACACATCGATCAGTGGCTGGAAGAAATAGAAAGATATGCTTGCGGCGGAGTGAACAAACTTCTTGTGGGAAATAAATGCGATTTGTTGGGTAAACGCCAAGTTGAGTACGAGGTGGCCAAAAGTTTCGCGCAAAGACTTCAGATTTCGTTCATTGAAACAAGCGCAAAGGACAGAACCAATGTTGACAACGTGTTTTATACAATGGCGGAAGAACTAAGAGAGAAGCTTGGGTCACCCCTGACTTCTCCCGATGGTGGAGGTGAAAATTTAAGCTTGAAAGACAGTACTCCGGTTAATACAAGTAACTGGCCGAAATGTTGCAGTTTTTCATGATTGAGTGGTAGTACTTGCGATTGTTACGAATAATAAAAAGGCTCGATATTTGCTCATAAACAAGACAATCACTTCAAGAGAGATTACGATTAAAAATATTTGTCTTCAAGGAGTATGGTGAAACTGTAACCTGCATGCGCAACCACTAGGAAAGTGTAGTGTTGTATTGGAAGTAAGGGACATTGTAAAATGGGTAAAGAAACACTTTCGAAAGCTTCCATTGGAAAATCAAAATTCTTGAGAAAGACAAAGTACTATTCAATACATAATTGTGGAAGGAATATGGCTTTCAAATGTTATACGCAAAAAGGGAAAAATTTTTAATTTTTGGACATATACAGTTTGATTTCAACATTTTGGGTAAATTCCAAGTGCGTATATGTGTTTTTATCATTGTTATTATTATTAAAAATAACAAAAGATGAAAAGTAGGGATTCAGACTGACCAAGTTAATATTTTGCAGCTTTAATATTGGGAATTGGAGGAGGTCTTTTATTCCCAATTAGAACGAATCTCTAGCAACAACTATATCGGAAAATCTAGAATTTACATCGACATGAAAGTACTGACGCTTTACCTTGCATGATAGTTGGCCGTTTTGGTAGGCAAATAAAAAAGCAAAATATGCAATGTCAGGAGGATTTTTCCAAGGGTTAAGGCTCTCCATCTCTCTTAGGAGGTGCACAGGAGTTAATCAGTTGGAGGATATAAGGTTCAAATGATCTTCTTTTTAAGGGCCTCTGGGCTATATAAATTTGCATGTGTGCATATTATATTGTGGCACTGGACCGCAAAATATATTCACTGACAGCCGGCATATAAATCGGCAAGAAGCCAGTGTTAAGAGATATTCAGTTTTCAGTTATTTCTGGTTCAGATGAACGACAAACCCTAACGACTGCGTTCAGAGACAAGACAGAGATCTCTTCGTAATGAATTCTGATTACGATTACTTGTTCAAAATCCTTGTGATAGGCGACTCTGGTGTTGGAAAATCGTGTCTACTGATGCGCTTCATAGACGACAAGTTCACAGAGAGTTTTATAAGCACCATAGGAGTAGACTTCAAAATACGCACCATGAATGTGCATGGAAAAATTGTCAGACTACAGATATGGGATACCGCAGGACAAGAACGTTTTCGTTCGATTTCGGCGACTTATTACCGGAACGCGCATGGAATCATCTTGGTCTACGACGTCAATTGGATGGAAAGTTTTTTGCACATCGATCAATGGCTAAAAGAAGTCGAACGAAACGCAGGAGCCAGAGTAAGCAGACTTCTTGTTGGAAATAAATGCGATCTGGAAGGCAAAAGACAAGTTGATTATGAAGTGGCAAAAAATTTCGCTGATGACATTGGGGTTTCGTTCGTTGAAACAAGCGCGAAAAATGACACTAACGTCGACATTGTTTTTAACACAATGGTGGAAGAACTTAACGAAAAGTTGGCGAGTGGTTTACCTTTAATGGCCACTTCCCCTAACAATTCGGCCAAAAGTTTAGGTTTGAGCGACAATCAGTTACCTGCTGAATCAACTAGTCGGCAGAAATGCTGTAGTTTTTCCTAATTTTGTACATAGTAGATCAGTGGTCGAATAGGAATTACTGTATTGTCTTAAATATTGTGAGATGCCGGTCAATGTTGATCGATGAGCAGATGTTTTCGACTCTTGCACATGATGCTTAGTGTTTCTTGACAGCCAAGTAAAGCCCTCAAAGAGGAGAGCTGAACACAGTATACTACATACACTGTATACAAAAATGAGATAAATGATTCAGTAAAAAAAGTGAATATATTAATAAATATACAGATAAATAAATAAACGAACAAATAAGTAAATAATTAAAAACCACCGCGGCAAAAATTTTCGTTCAAATTATCTTGATCTTCGCCGAGCTCTGACTCAGCGTATTCCCCTTGATCTGCGTCACGATTTGCGTGACATCTGCGGGTTGTGTTGAGCCTTTAAGAACCAAAACATGGCTCAGCGGAGTTAAGTTTATTTATGTAACATGCACAAATAGTACACTCCACGTGAGGGAACAGGGCCAATATTGACGTGAAGGCTTTCGGAAGTAGACGTCTGGATTACACTCTTTTTACCGTTGAGATTGCAAGATATCCGAATCGTTTCTTCGAATAATGAGCGATATTGTAGAGCTGCAAAGTCCTGATGGAGATCATGCAACTATTCAACTTCACGGCAAGTGGATAATTATGAGAGTTTGGTGTGCTGTTCATCACGTGAAAGAACTCCTCAGGCACCATCTGTTGTTTTGTTGCTCCAGTGAAATATTCGTCGGAGAGAGAACTAGCTGCGAGGGGAAAGAGAATTCCGCGTCTCCCAAATTCCGGATGAAAAAAAAAAATGGACTATACCCTGACAATCAAATCAGCGTATTCCAGACTTGAGTGGAAAGCTTCCCACTTAATTTAACTCCGGTTTTACGTTGAATTAACTGTTTTCGAGAGAGTTTTTTCTTTCTTCTCTACGTTAAGTTTTCTGTCCTAGTAACTTATGTTAACAGGTTAATATCAAGTGCATTTCTTATGTCAATCTGCGACTTGTAGCTAAAATAATAATGATTGGGTTGGTATGATTTCTACAGGTGCAACTGTGACGTCATGGAAGTGCAAAGGACGGGAAATGCTGTTTGTAAGGTAAATAATTCAAATTCTTTCAAACCTTTCCATCTAGCGATACCAGCAGACTGGAAAAAAACTTGATTAGCTCTTTTTTAAAATATTACCAACGTTTGACTGAAAGAAAATAAAAACTTTCCTTTAGAAGCCACTCATTGTGACATGTTTTATAATCGATCTTTCATAATTTATTTTTTAACAGTGAAAAGGCGGTTTTTGACAAGAAGAAGGCGATCAGAGGCGGAATTCCAGTAGTGTTTCGTAAGTAATAATCGTATATTGTGAGGACAGGAATCAGCTGCTATATATTGGAAGCTAATCCAGTCAGATTTTACGTGAAGGATATAATGCTTTGAAAGAGCCAGGATCAAGATTGCGATATAATTTATGCTGTTGCAATATGTCTTGAGGAACGAATCCTAGAATGGTTTCTGTTCAACAGCAAACTTTGGACCATGGAGTCTTGGGCCTCAGCATGGATTTGCCAGAACTAGCCAATGGCACATCAGCCAACATCCAAAGGTTTGGAAAAAAATCAAATGGGCCTTGCAATTTAAGCTAACCCTCTACACTAGAACTTCAGTATGTATATTCTCCATACCATTCGCTAGTCATTTCCTAAGGTGCTGACAGGGAGAATTTGTTTAACAATCAAGAGCCTCTTTAGTTGGTGATCATTTCCTTTATTCCTGTGACTTTAATGTTGGATTCAGGGGTGATGTTGGAAAGAAAAGTTAGATGCTAGACTTACTCTTAGGGGTCAAAAGGGTTAATTCACTTTCTATGTTAAGCACAGATGTAGGGGAGATATTTGGAAGACTGGATGGCTAACAAATTGTACATCAGTTTTAATCAAAGGAGATGGAGGTTATTTCCATAGGTATCAGGATAGGTCTGTGGTATCTCAAAGGATTTAAATTCATTAGGTGCTCATTTTTTCAAGGAAGAGAATGGTGAAACAAGAGCAGTGTTTTCTCTAGAGGACAGTGAAAGTACAAGACAAATGTGGGATTATAAGTAAGTGTCCCACTCTTATCATGGACCCAGTAAGGTGCTTGGGTTTGTTGTTGTTGTTGTTTTTTTATGGCAGGTGCAAATATTTATTTTGGAATCTGGTAACTTTTAAAATTTTTTTTCCCTGTGAGACATTTCTCTTAAAATTCCACAATTATTACTCTTGAAGGTTTAGGGTTCTGTATGAAGTGACTGTGGGAAAGCAGCATTTAAAAACCACCATCACAGTTGAAAACAAAGGTAAAATAAAATGTTCTAGATAAAAAAAAAACCAAGGATACAAATACAACATTAGTAACATATTTTTAGTTAGTTGTCTAGATTAACAGCTACCGCCTGTTATTTTTCTAAGCATTTATTTTGTCCTGGATTAAAAACACTGTTGTCAAAATCAGGTCACTCAAATTTTAAAAATATTTCTGAAGGTGACAATGATGTTGGAAACCTTGGAAAATATGTTAAGTTACATTGAAGGAACTTTGACCATTGGTTTAACTAATTAATTTTGATTAATGCTGACAGAAGTGAATGAAACCATCTTTGTTAGACCTATTTAATAAATATTTTAGGATCTTCATTTGAATTTTTTATGCAATTCAAACTAGACAGTTTGCACTCGTGATCTTTGCAGACGAGAAAGCCTTTGCCTTTACCACCCTTCTACACACTTATTTACGAGTTCCTGATGTTACCCAAACTACAGTTTCTGGATTAAAGGGCTTAAACTATGTTGATAAGGTGAGTGTTCCAACTTTAATTATTGCTTTTTTGAGGTGAGTTTAACAGGGAATGTACACAGCCTCATGTCTGAACCCTCTAACTCCCAGTAGTGATTAACAAGTAACTTCTCCTTATTGTATTTACACACTATCCAGCAAACAGGTAATGAGAATACTCAAACTTATCAGGTGGAAGTTGTTATCTTACTCTGACATCAAATTCTTGAAACTAATTTACAAGGAAATATGTAGCAGCTAGAGGAGAGAATTAACAACCAGAACTTGGGTTAACCTCTCAAGTCCTAAGAGAGAATGTTTATTTTAGTGTTTTAGTGCTGAGTACTCTGAAATTATTCTTTGTAGGTTCTTGGTGGAAAAACATTCACAGAAAGCAATGAACCTGTGAAAATCAATGGGTTTACAGATAGGTAAATAAATGTAAATAAATGTAAATAAATGTAATTTTGCCTAAATTATCAAATTGAAATTCAGACACATTGTATGCATAATTTCATTGGCAATTCTTGATCAATTTTTTTATTTCAATTTCCATAATTTGAAAATCTAGTCATGACTAATAATAACCTGAATAGAACATTACTTAGAATGAAAAGGTTCATATATGAGCTGAGAAAGTATTTGTTATTACATCATTTGATTAAAGGCACTCAGCCTTATTAATTGCTACTTGTCTAACAATTAGGCTGGACCATATGGGTGAAAGTTTTCTTTTCTTTTCTTTTTTTTTTTTTTAGGGTTTACCAGAACTCTCCAAGTGAACACAAGATAACAAATGTTGGCTCTAAAAATTGTCATGTAACTCTCTGGAAGGAAAATTTTCCAGATACAGGTGACATCAAAAAATTAAATTGTAAGTGACTTAATTTCTTTTGGTAGACTAATGCATGTTTTTGTTTATTTTTCAGTTGTGTGGAATCCTTGGGCTCAAAAGGCCATTTCAATGGCTGATTTTGGAGATGATGAGGTTTGTTCCTCTTTACCACAAGTTGAGTACTTTGCTGCCCTTGAGGGACAAAGAAAATGATTTGGAATGATTTTTAAAACTATTTCCTTTTCATCTCTTGTAGTATCCCAATATGCTATGTGTTGAAGCAGGATATGTCAGCAAGCCTTTTGTACTTGAGCCAGGAAAGAAATTTGAAGCCCAGCAAACATTTTCATGTTCTTGTGTTTAGCCTTGAATTTTCATACAATAGGTAGTGACCAAAATCAAGTTAGAAATGAAATTAATAGGTAGCTCTGATAGCATTAGTGCAGTTTGAAAATAAACTACTACCAATAAAAAATGTAGGGATGGTAAAAGATAAGACTAATGATAGATGTGGGTAAACAGGAAGATAGGATTAGGATATTTTTTGTGAACTAATAGATGTAATGACTTTTCTGTACTCTACCTGTTTAAATCAATTTTAAAAGGATAGGGATTGTTTTTATCAGTTTATAAGGGTAGTCAGAGTATAATATACTGTAAACCGTTTTTCTAATGTAGGGCTAACACTCCAATCATCAGCTTTAGAAATCCTTCATGGGGGCCAATTTACATAATTAACTCAGTTGAAAAAAAAAATCTCTGTTCAAACTATGTACTGTTATACACCAATATGAGTGATGAATTTTTTTTCTTCAAATCAAGATTGTATTCTACAAGCTATTCTCAAATTTCCAATACTCTCAAAAATTTCATGTCTAGGTGTATAAAACAAAGTAAAATATCAGCCTGGAACTACTAACAATAACTGTTCAAATAGACTAGAAGTGTGTAGAGCCAATGAACTGAAATCCAAACAACAACATCGATCTATTTGTGCATTCAGTTAAAATCATACGTCACTAGAAAACTGTTACAAAGACAGTTTCCTTGCATTGTATAAAAATAATTAAACAGTAAAAGAAATTGCATTCTAAATGGATATTCACAATGGTAGTAAAATAAAAAATGTTATTTAATTACCCTGAAATATTGAATAACAAGGATATAATATCGGCTTATAAACTAAGGATACCAGCTGGGAAAAAAGACAGCTTGCTGCTGCAATGTTGTGTGTTATTTCTAATAAAAAAGTACCCTTGGAGACTGTAGTTTTTTTTTCAGTTTGAATTACTTGTCCTTTCTTACTTTGAACATTTTCTTTCTCCCTCACCTTCAATACTGTAAGTTTTTCATATTTTAGTTTTTTGGGGGAATGATTAACCTGAGAGGATTAATGCCTACAAATAATATGCGTATTTCCAAAACAGTCACAAATAGAAGTGTCTAACAACTCACACTTTTCCCAACCATAGCAGCTTAGGTGACTTACCTAAGCTTCTTTCTGTAATCTTTTTAACAAAATTTAAATAGTATTCAGTGTCATCATACATTCAACCTGATAAAAGATAGCCTGTACTTGACCTACTACAGCTATAACACTGGCTTCAGCCAATACTGCATTCCACAAAAGTCAAAAGAATAACTATTTTGAACAAAACCACTTGAGTAAAGAGCAATGAGCTTTAAGTTCTTTTTTCTGAAATTCAAAAGACATGGAACTCAGACACAGGAGTGGGACATGTGGGTTTATAATCCTTCAAATATCAAGTCAAGGGCAGCTTGGACGTTACCACCAGTAGCAGTGAGAGCCTGGATACTGAGTGCATCATCTGTGATTCCCATATCTCTGAGTTGCTGCAACTGTGACTGGAAATATTCCAAAAATGGTTATCACTTATCTTTATCAACTGATAGATTAATAAGTGGCTCACACATATGTGTGAAATAGTATCAGTTCCACTCATTAAAATTATTATGATCTAAAATTAAAAGTTATAATAATTGTTTCAATGACTCAAAAGGGCTGGGATCTGAACAACCATATAAGTAAATTTGTTGGAATGTGAACAAAAATTGGAATACATTAAATTAAGGAGGTCTTGATGGGAGTTAGAAGGTGACAAATATCACTTAATGAAGTTGATATAATTATTGCAAAGAAATGTTTAAAGTCAGAATGATGTGATGCAAAAGTTCACGAACCAACAGCAGTGTCGGATAAATTCAATAGAGATTATTCCTTTCTAATTGAATGGATTCACAAGTAACAATCAAGTTAAACAGAAAAAAATAACTTAATATCGATATTAGTCCCCAGAATGTCAACAGTGAGATCAATGAGTTTCTAACCTGAAGCTGAGATGATTGCTGAGAAATGTTCATGACAGATGCCACCGCTTCACTGACCATATCTCTTGTTATGGTTGGTCGTGAACTTGACGCTCTTGTACCTCTACTTGTTGAGGGGATGACTGGTGAGAAAGCTGATGTTGAAGCACCTCTGCTTGTGGATGGCCCAGCTAAAAAGGTGAATTACATTTCCCTTAAAATACAATACAGTCAAGCCTTTATGGCCAATCCTATGGGAAATATTGACTTCTAGTGATGCCAGCAATTATGTAGTGGAAAAAATTATAGTTTGCATGGAAAAAAGGAGTTTCTTCATCCTCTCTTCCATAATGTAGTTGTTGTTTTTGTACACATCACATCTTCTTGATAACAAATAGTGTGCATGCCATCAGAATTCAATGTAACCAACAATCAGAGCTCAAAAGGATTATTGTGTCAGCACACTGTACATACATGACAGCATAATTTTGAACTAATACCCTCACTTACATCTTTTATTTACAAAGGACGCTGCACAAACCTTCACTGCGTGTTGAAGAACCTGGAGAAATTCCTGCATTAGCTAAAGCCGATGATAATAATGATGATGTGACTGGTTGCCGAGATGATGATGCTCCTCTTGAGGCCGCAGCAGATCTTAATGCTTGGATACTCTCTTCATTTGCTGCCACCAGTTCAGCTTGAGCAACAAGCTATGGATGAAAGATAATACTCAAATTAACATCTAATAAAAATTTTAGATGTGATAGGACACAAAACATGATATCTCACCCCTGGATCCATGCCTCGCAGTTCATCATCAGAATCATATGTGTCACCAGCCATGTGACTCCTGGTGGAATGTTTACCTACCCCTCCCTCCTTGGCAATTGCTGCAGCAATGTAGGAAGCTGCCTGAACCAGGCTTGGATGTTCTCGCATTACCCTGTAAAAGATGATTACAAAAAGCTTCAGTTGGTAACAATTTGCACAGAGAGTTCAAGATCACATTCAATTTATGGCTGTTATTAAAACTATTGAAAGGTTATTGTAAAACAAGAAGACACAAATTCGTAAACAGTGAACAACTTAGAGAGAAAAGTTAATTTCACTTACGTCTCAACGTTTGCTGTCTGTACAAGTTGTTCAAGAAGTTCAGGATCTTGAAGAAGAGCTAAGAATTACATGGAAAAACATATGCACATAAAGTGATTCAAATGTTTAACTTTATTCTTCAGTAGCACAGAAATAAAAAGAAGTAAATATTAAAGAAGAACCACAAATAAGTAAATTACAGTAAGAGAAAAAGGATTAGCATTTGGGCAGAAAAACATTTAAAATATCTCTGACGAGATCATTAACCACAAGGAAGGTCAACAGATGTATATGTATGGTACATGAATAACAACCTATGATCAGAAATTGAGAAAAGTGTTTTTTTGTCTTGTCGTGTGTGTGGGACAAAGAAAGAATTCTGAGTTCCCTTGAAGAATTGAACCTGAGACCTCTGATGCTCTACCACTGAGCCACAGAGACCCTACAGTAAGTGAGATCTATTACGAAGTTCACATGACACACATCCTGCATACTGCTAGGATCAGCATTGTCAATAGCATCATGTTTGTAAAGAATAAAAGAGATGGTAAGTTTTGAGCTTGGTAAAGAAATTGAGGAATATGTTTTTTGCCTTGTCACAAGTGTGGGACAAAGAAAATAATTCTGAGTCCCTGAGTTCCTGTTAGGATCAGAACATTAGAGGCATTATGCAGGACACATGTCATATGAACTTTGTAATAGACCTTGCTCACTGTAGAGTCTCTGTGGCTCAGTGGTAGTCTAGTGGAGCATCAGAGCATGAAATCAGATATTCACCAAGCTCATATTCTTTACATACAACCTATGATGTACACAAATATTACATAGAATTTACATTTGGTTGATAAGTAGTGAGAGATGCTGAGGCCATGTGGTTGTAGTGTGTGGGCTTGGATCACTAAGTCCAGGGTGATTCAACCACTAACTAGGTTCTTAAGTTGGATTCTTGGTAAGTCACTACTGTCAGAGGATATTTCTCCACCTAGGATTATCAATGGGTACCTGAAAACTGTTTGGAAAACCTGGCAAATTAAAGGACAAGGGGGGTGACTTTGAAATATGCTGGTATCTTGTGCAAGGGTAATTAACTATACTATCACAGCATGAACCCTCTGCCTTATAAGCTGACATTATGTCATAAACAGTTATAACAATTCATTGTAATCAGAAATACTCACTCATAGCAACATGATCAGATGATAATCCTGGAGTGGCTACAGTCAGTTGTTCAAGCATGTCTGGATTGGTAAGAATTTTTTCAACCTGACAACAACAAAAAAAACCAGTTGAATCAGAAAAAAAATACTTTATACTCCTTATTTAAGTTTTTTATGAAAAACAGCAAAATTTTCAAGAGATCTGAAACTTACTGTATTTCTGTAGGAAGGGCTCTTGATGGCTGCCTCTAAGACAGGGATCACTTCAGTGATTGGCACATCATCTGAATCAAGTTCTTTTGGGTGAAAAATTAAATGACATTAAACAAAAACCATGGATGTGTTTGCTTTAATTAACAATACCATATTAAGAAATTGAACTGAAAAAAATTAAAATAATTAGGAAGTGGCCTCTATATACCAAGCTATAAAGAAGAACAGACATTCACAATTAAAAGTAGAGAGTCTACCTCTGTAGCATTCTTTGTCTCAGAAATATTCAGAATTTACAATTTCTGACCCAAGGTATTTCATAGCATCCAACATGAATTAAGTATTAAGTCTATTCTAACACTAGATGAGCTAAGGAGCTCAAGCACATGGCAAAAAGGTCTCATTGTACTTGCTCTGTACTTTATCTAGTTAGGTGATCTTGCCTCACTTGTTTGAAAGGGGATAAAACCCTCTCCACTGGATTTATTACTATCCAGCCTAAAACTGTCCACAGAACAAACCAGATAGCAATTGATCTACTGCTTGTCTAATCATCAAACAACTTAACTTGGATGACTGAATTTTCCAAACATAACTTGATACAACCTGACTTCCTGAATAACTGAATAAAGGGGGTAAGTTTCTAAGGAAACTGTGGTGCTGCATCAGTGGGAGAGTATAGCAGGTAATTTAGTGTTGACAACTGAGTTGAAAATGTAAATTGGTCACGATAAAGAGTGAAAAGGCTGACATTTCAAGTATTAGCTCTTTATTAGAGTGATTGTCCCCAATTCCTCCGACAAAGGGCTAATGCTCGAAACATCAGCCTTTTCAATCTTTACGGTGGCCAATTTATGTTTTCAACTCAGTTGTTAACACTTAATTACTTACTTCCTGAATAACTGCCTTTAATTTGGCAAGCACATATATTCTAAAAAACAAATGCATCATTTTCACCTATGGGTTCTGGTTCAGGGTTCTTTATCATCACATAAATAGTAAATCCATCTTTGATTCCATAAGAGTCCAGAGTTTTCTCGTCCTTAAGCAGTTCTCCAGCAAATATAAAATCTAAAGAAGACAATTTATAGCTTCAGTGAATCTATCGTATGGGTCAACAAAGTATAAAATATAATTTGTAAATCTTACATCTCAATACTTAAAATATCTGATAACCATCTTAAAATACAAGGGATCTGATATAATATTTCCAACTACTTGATGAGCTAAAACATTTTCAACAAAATAAAAAGATTTCCTTCGATCGAGTGTTTTCTTTGGTATTTTTACAGTTTCCCGGCATCCACGACAGCTGCACGCTTGTTTCACAATGATGTGTTCCTTGACTTTTCTTTTTGACCGCTTTTAAATGAAAGATGGCAGACTGGTTTTTTTTTCAAGCATCAAATTGAGAAGTTTTATGGAGGAAATGGGAGGCTATAGTGGTAAAAATAGACACTTTTATGGGTTAAAAAAGTCCAATGATCATCTCACTCTGCTGGTCAATCGGTATGTTCGTCTTCGCTGCTGCCTTTTCCTTCAATTCCTCAACTTTGCAACTTAACTCGATGTCATCAATGATATGCTTAGTATTGTGATAAGCTTCTTTGATTCGAACACACGGCATTTCTTAGCGTTCTTGTAAATATGTCAATGACTTTTTCGTCTGCAGACGTCGTCACCTATTGAAATTTACCTCACGGCTATTTTTCGCAAGGCATCAAAAGTGTCGACTACTTGGAGAATCTGGAGCTAGCGATTTGATTGGATAATGGTAGCTTCTAAACTTCGCGCGTCTCGTTAGACGCAAATAGAAATCAACAAGGAATGAAGTTCCTTAAGTAAGTTGCCATCTCATGGACCAGTTCACAGCTGGATCAATCGTATGGGCAAGTGCCCGTAGAGACATTTTTTGGCCTGGCGTGGTAAGTTTTCATTGTCATCATTTGTTTCCTTCTGTGGTCTCAGTAGTTAACGTTCTTTACGTCCTTTGATCGTACGAAGTTGCTGCAAACTTGGGAAGGGTAGCTTAAAGTTTGAAGAAATGAAGTTAAGATCGAATTACTTTTTTTGTATGGAACGCTTAGAAGCGAGGTAACCATATGGCTATTGACTTGCAACTATCATGAAACGAGCAATTGCCCTTGCATTCTGTCAGAGTCTTAATACTGTACTCAGATAATCAGAGTATTTGACATGATCCTGCATGGTCACAACTGTAACATCAAGTTAATTTTAATTAGTAGGTCAGATGCCCAGATTTGTTAAAATACGTCTTTTAAGTCAAGCTCAACGAACTCCCTCCCCTTCGCCTCTATAGCTCACCAGAAAAGACCTTTGATTTCAATGTAGTTTTTATTGTTTTTCTTTCTGTCATTGTAATTGATTGGTACGCAATAGCTCTGTTACACGCAGTACCATTCCGAGGACAAGTAAATAACCCACAGTGTCATCTTGCCACTGTCAATGTATTTCAGGTGGTTGACGCTAAGGACACTGCACCTATACCAGCTAAAAAATATGTTAGCGTAAATTTCCTGATTGAGGATTCATAGTAAGTACCTTTGTTGCTAGATCAACTTCCTCTAATGTCAATTCTTGACCCTTACAATCCAAGGAAGGACCAAAACTAATATATATCTTCAATGTCAGTTTTATATCAAGCACACAATTGACAAGAATACAGGAAGATATGAACTAGGAGATTATTTTTTGATCAAATGCAATAGGGTTACTTGTTTTGGCAACAAAATTTCTTGTTTGGAATTTAGTTTTGTACCTCAAAAGTTTTAACTATTCTGCATGATTTTAACTGATTGGCAATCTATTGGGTATTTTGATCAGTGCACATTTTAGGATAAGTTCATTCAAACATTTAATCAAATTTTCCTCTGTAAATATATTGCAGTGAAGACATCAAGAGTCCCAGCAAGATTTTCTTGTGGAACTGTGAAAAACAAAATACATTTATTGAAAAAGGCAGAGGTAACAAATTATTTTCAACTTTTTCACTTGGGCATTGGGTTTTCAGATTAAGATGTGAACGATGAAGTATGTGAGATTAAAAAAGATTATGAACTAAAAAAAAATACACTGGTTTTAAAGCAGGTGAACTCTGGGAAGATTAATAAATCAACAAAAACAGAACATTACTATCCTTAACAGTTTACATGAAAAATGAAATATTTTATGCATGTAACCAAAGTTTACAAACCTTTGTTCTGTAATCCAGGTCTCCAGGATTAACATTTTTCAAAGGCATTATTTGGTGAGCTAAGATCACAATATGGTCATGGGAAATAATGTAGTTGTAGTACCCAGGAAAGATAAAAACTATCTAAAACTACACTGATAAGCGGCTGCTTGCCATATGACTGCCAAATGCAAGTCACAAATTTGTTACTTTAGTTGCAAATAACTGATAATTGTGACAATATATGTTTATTTTTGTTATCATGTCACAGCGTTAAAGAGTGAAGAACGAAAAATCATTTTTAATAGGGCTGTCGCAAAAGCAGATAATCTGTTGAAGCAAGGTGAGATTAAGTGTTATGGTCATAGCAACATCAACATTCTTTGACCCTTTGACCTCTTAGACTGACAAGCATCTAATTTCTCCTTACAATGTCACTCCTGAAACACATTGAGGTCACAAGAAAAAATGGAAATGATCATCAGCTAAAGAAGGTCTTGGTTTTGAATGAAATTCTCCTTGTTAGTAGTCTTGGCCAAAAAGGACGGAAACTCATAGTTTATACAAAATAAGTCAAAAGTAAAGCCTTTATACAGGCCCAAGTGGCCCATGGGGCTTGTGCTTAACTTCGGTTTCAATAGCATGAAGCAGCTAGGAGTATTGCTACTCCCTCCTGGATGGGATGCTAGTCCGTCACAGGGTTACCCCCAGCATATTTGCTGTTACCCATTTGTACACCTGGGTGAAGAGAAGCACTGTGAGAGTAAAGTGTCTTGCCTAAGAACACAACACAATGACCCCAGCTAGGGCTCGAACCCGGACCACTCGATCTGGAGTCGAGTGCACTAACCATGAGGCTACCGTGCCTCCACACAAAATAGGGAATTGTGCATAATTTTACTCTTCCTAAGTAATGGTTGTCTGGTTGTGGGTCACTTAGTTTATAAATGACAATGTTCTGCTGTGATATTTGTTGGTTGTAGTCATCTTTGTTTCATGCAGTTTAACTGCAAAGTATTTCTAAACACCATAACAGACAGAGACCAGTTTTGGCACTAGACAGTTTATTAAATGTATATATCCAACATAAATAACACACTAGATTGTTATATAAAAGATATTGGACGAATACACTAAACCGACAGTCCAGTAATCGGTAAAAGTGAAGAACAGTTCCCAAAAGATACTGTTAGCCATCTGTCAGCCAACAGTTGGCCAACTGTTGGCTTACCATTGGCCGACAGATGGCTGACAGTTGGCCAACAGTTTTCATAATGTTGCAGACAAAAGTGTCAGCTGACAGTTGGCCAATAGTTGGCCATCTGTTGGTGACCTGTCGGCAATGTGTGGGTAAGTTGTGTGCTGAAATGATTGCAAACAGTTACTTATTTATCGCTTCAACAACTACGTCGAAACAGGAAAAATTAATTGAAGAGAGATAGTTAGTATAGCTATTGCCTAACTTGCTTGCATTGGCTAGTGAAACATGCCTGTATTAGTTCGATTTCATTTGTCAGCCATATTGGCCGACAGGTTACCGACAGCTGAACATGGGAGCTATTGTTCACTTTTACCCAGTAATCAAGAATAAATTACAAACATGATTGAGATTAAGATACGATCAAAACTGTTGATGGTGTGGGTGGGACTGGGAAACTCAAACTTTCTTAAAGCTAGAAATAATTGCTTGCTTGCTAGATTACTAATAAGACATGCACAGATACCTTAGCGGTAATATACTAAAGTAATTTCACAATTAAAATGCATTAGCATAGTGAATAGCCATTGGCTCTACCCAAGTCATATGACTTGTATGCTGAACAAATTGCTCAATCTTAAGAAAAGAGAAAGTATTAATATGCACCCTACCTGTACCCAGTCCAGGCCTCCCAGTTATCAATGTCTAGATTCATATTAATAGAAATTAATATTCACAATAATTTGTTATTTATTGGGATTTCAGACGTGGAAAGAAGAGTTGTAAATTCTTCAGAAACTCAGAAGATTCCAAATGTGACAAATAGAAGAAGTACGATAAAACAACATTTGGAAAGTCTGGATGGAGCATTGGAGCAGAATGGTAGCAACTGTGAAGTGGAATTGGACACAGCCAAAGCAAATGAAGAAAAAGGAATAATGAAAAGTCAGAAAGAACATGTGTTGAAAGGGCAGTCAAATTACTTAACGTCAGAGGCCAGTGAAACCAAAGAGCACTCACAAGCCTTTCAAAGACATCAGAGCTTGTCAAAGGAAAAAAGAAAACGAAAGGAAAAAGACCCTTGCAAAAAAATATTACCAGCAAAGAAAGCAAAATCAACTGATCAAGTTGTACTAAGTGAGGTAAAACCAGAGCAAAATGAAAAGAATGTGGAAGAGTTGGATCTGAGGACATCAACTTGTAACAAAGATAACCTTGTTGCAAATGCAATCAGTACAAATGGTAATAGTAGCATCACTTCAGAAGGGAGCTCTGATGATGAAGAACTCATGTCTGAACTATTTTCTCCAAGCCAAGAAGCTGATAGTAAGTTAAATGTTCTTGCCTTTAAAAGAGTTCTTTTTTACCAGCGTGTTCAATCTTCAAGTAATCTGTTGATCCAAAAAAAGTGTTACGCTTGACCAGGAATACTAAATACTTTGTCTTAAGTTTTAAAAAAAAGGTAATGCATGCAATGTTGTATAAATTAAAGAAGATAGGTGATGATTGATAATGACAATAATCTGAACAATAATGATAATGATAATGGTTTCACTTTAACAACAAAATCAGTAATCTGTGGATTGTAAGTGAAGTCTACATTAAATTTATTCACAAAATTAATGGCAATCTCATTAATATTGGCTCCATTTTCTGTCAAGATCATTTTTCAGTTGGTGATATTGTTTGGGCAAAATATTATCGTGAACCTTATTGGCCTGCTGTGGTAAGTTTTCCTCATTTATTTGAATCATTATATCATGTAATTACTTTTATGAAAAGAAGAAATTCCTCCATGAAGCTTTCTATACAGACCATGTGAAAAAAATAAAAACCCACTTATTTTAAGCATGTCTTTGTAATAATTTTACGTTTACAAACATGTACAAAATTCTGAGTTCACAGACAGACAGTAATGAACATCATAGTTGTGTGTTCATATAATTTCACTAAAGCGCATTTACTCAATACATTGAAAATGTAATATTTAGAACTTTAAAATGTGTGCAAGAAACTGAACATTTTAAAAAACGTTTGTGTGATATTTTGAATTGTGGTCATAATTGTATTTTTACACTTAAACTTTTATTATTGACATTGCAGGTAAAAAAAATCATTGGAAAAACAAAAAAAGAAAAGAAATATGTTGTGAAATTTCTTGGCTGGAATGATGACCTGTAAGTTTCAGGAATGCCCTAGTGGATTTATAGTATAATTGATATTGATTTAGTAAATAACTTCACCTGTTACTTGTCTTCAAATATGTATAGGTTCAAAGTCCAACCCAAAAAGTTAGAACATTATGCTCGGGATCAAAATCGAGAAAAATTCATGGTATGTCAAATGAAGAGTGTTTAATATTTCAAGTACATTAAATTTATATCTTACTTACTTATTGAAAGTATGTGCAGTTTGGATTTGTCTTCTTACATTACATTTTTCACATTTTAGTGAATGATGCACACATATAGAGAACTATGACATGGGGTGAAAATAACGGGTGTGTTTTTAACTGTCTGTAGCCTGTCAGAGACACCCTGAATGATAAGGACTTGGTAGTGCAGTTTGATCTAGCTGTTGATGAGGCTGATGATTTTCTAACAAGGAAAGGTCTGAGATTTTTGATAATTGTTATGTACTTCTTTGTATTTAATTTTTGATACCCAAGTACTTGAAGTCAACTGTCTATAGCTGCTGTTAATTGCAGAAGTATTATATCAGAATCATTTGACTTGTATGTGTTGTATAACAACGATTTTAAGATATTTGGCACTATTTATTATTTTGTTTAAATCTGAATCATTAGCACTTGGTGAAAGTCTTGATGAGGAGCTTGATTCAAAGATTGACAAAGGTGAGCTGCAAATATGTAGGACAGATTCTACTCTTGGGGGTACCTCATAAGTATGAACACTGACTGGTAGTTACACCACGTCAGGTTGTGAGACGCATGTAGCTAGGTCAAAGGTGAAAAGTTGACAACTGTATATACTATCCAATTAGCCCACTAGACGGGAGATTACCCAGCAAGCTTAGCATGATACAACGTAAGGGTATTGCTATTCCAATTTGAGGATATGCCCAACCATTGTAGGTTAGCACAGTGATTGTTGTTACCAATAGATAAGAACCATACAAGACATACAATAGAAAGGTAGTGACTGTTTTACACCGCTCACAAACGATATCTTGGTTTATGTTTTCCAGACGAAGAGGAAGAAATTGAAGAAGAGGATGAAACGCAATCTGCTGGTGATGGACAAGCAGAGGAAGAATATCTACGAACTCACAATCCCTCTGAACGTAGGAGGTCATACCGAACAAAAAGGTAAGTTTAGGCGACTTTCTTTCACGCCATTGCTAAAAAAGGATTAAAGTGACAAAGTGCAGGGCATAATCGTTACTTGTCTGGCAATATATAAATGACGATCTCAATATTATTTTTTTAGGCAAGTGTCGCAGTACGGGGACATATTATCGTACATCGGGCAGGCAAAAGTGAGTATCAAAACGCAAAATAATGAGCAATTATGTCATAGATAATGATATGATGTTTCAATTTCAAGTGGTTTTTCATTTTGGTGGTTTCCTAAACGGCCTTAAGTATGGCATACATGTGAAAAAGAAAAGCTTAAAAAATGTCTTAGCTTGTGAAGAGAAGCTGTTTCGGTGTGAGCTGAAGGATGTTCACACGTAACACCGAAATATGTTACAAAGACTGAAAGCAGATCTTTTCTTTTTCAGAACTTTTTACTTTAGGGAATCTAAAAGCTTTGTGTATAGAAAAAATATATGCAACTTCTCATGTAACATGGTAACTATGATTCCAGCTTTCCGTCTGAAATAGCTAATTAAGTTGACTTTTTTGTTCGATTACTTTTGTGCAGCCAATCTTGAAACAGATTTTAGATGGCAAAAGATCATCCGAGCGCCATATGACTTTCATGAGTGGAACAACTAACGAAAGGAATCAGTTAAAACACCGAGCAGGGTTTGGTCCTATCGGGAATGAGGCGGTGGTAAGATTGAATTTTTTTTCCATCTCTTTATGCTTCTAAATTATACAAAAAAGTAGCTTATTTTGAGGGCTTGATACGAACGTGAGTAACGCGCGCAAGAGAGAGCAGACGCGTGCGTGCTTGACGTTTCTCGCGTGTTTTACATGTAGTCTAAATCATCAGCGGCTAGTTGAAACGAGCTTCTGCTTAACAGGTTCTGCAAAAATATAATAGGAAATATTTTTTATTTCTTTATCCATTTTTTTTTTATTGGTGTTGTTTCTTTTCTTTCAACAGCGAAATCAGATTATGGATAGGCTTGTGGAATTCTTCAGAGAAATAAAAGGAAACACGCTGGGTATCTCTTACGTATCAGAGGTGTGGTTACCTGAGGTACGCACACGATTTGTTATTGTATTAATTGTATATGTGAAAACAATTACGCACGTCTGAGAGGTTGAAAACAAGTGCGTGTAACACTATGGCAGTGTTTTAACTCGAGTGCAAACAACAAATAGCGTGCGTTGTCAAAATTTCGTCTGTACTGGCTGTCTGTGGTGCTTTCTTCATGTAAATGATTAAAAAGTAACAACATGATTTCGAGAGCACTTTGGTGTTAATAAGCACTTGAGGAATTTCTCAGTGACTACAAAATTGCACTCGCCCTATGGGCTCCTGCATTTTTATTTATTTCAATTAAATGGCAACTAACAAAATAAAATAATTACCTATAACATAGAAAATGATAGAAGGATGGTCTGTAAAAGAGTCCAAGACCCCATCCTCAGACAGACCACCTAACTAAATATTTAGTTTAAAAGTATAATTAATATAATTAATATAAATAATTAAAATCTGATTTAAAAAATTCTAAAATATGTGACTATGAGTTATTCATGAAGAAGTTTCTCACGCCACGCTTAAAACTTGAGATATTAGACACTGATCTCATTGAAAATGGGAGTGAATTCCACATATTAACAATGCGATTAAAAAAACTAAACTTGAAAGTGTTTGTACGGGCATAATTCTTCTCTAAAGTAAGTCCATCTTTCTCTCTCAAAGGGTACCTAGCAAAATCAGAGTCAAATTGTACAGCTGAAGAGATTTCAGTGTCAACATAGCCATTCAAAACTTTTTAAAAAAATAACACATAGAAAAGAAATAATCTATGTTCCAAGGACAGCAAATTAAGCTTAGAGTTGCGAGTATCGTAGTCATCTTCACATTTTATAATAAACTTCGTAGCTCCACCTTGCACTCTTTCCAACGTCACGATATTTCTGGTAGTGAAGGGTGACCATACAACAGAGTCATATTCAAGTTGAGGCCTAGCTAGGGCGCAATAAAGAGTTCTAAGCGTAGAAATATCTCTCAAATCTCTGCAATTTCTTTTGATTAAACCAAGCACCTTATTCGCCATGCTGGCGATCTTGTCTATGTGAGAGTTCCAGGACAATTTATAATCATTTAGTAAAGCAAGATCAGAGAACTCAGTGGTAGCTTCAAGGGGAGTACCACCCAGTAGTAGCGCAGCAGAGATTGGAGATCGTTTTTAAGTGATCCGCAATAACTTTTATTTCTTTGTATTAAAGCTCCTTTGATTTTTTGAGCCTAGGAGGCCAGATTATTGAGATCGTCCTGAAATGATTCATGATCGTATGAACATTGGATAACTCTTTGAAAAATTTACTCGTGCTTGATGACACTAAACTGCACTCGAAATCATGTCATTACCTATTCTAATTAAAAGCCAGAAAGGGTAGCTATTAGTAGTTTAAGGTTCAAATTCTTTGAACAGCATGAAAAAATCCAATTTTCAGAAGGGAAGCTTTTCTTACCTTGACCATTTGTGTTATTTCTGTTTAAGGTTTAAGGTACTAACTGCTCTGAAACTTTCATCTATACCAATAGTAAATTAATAGCTATGTTAAATTTATATCCCAGGGTGGCGCGGCTTAAAATCCTAAATCTTACATGTTCGGTTTTTTTTTCTGTTAATAACTGCATGTACAAAAGATTATGTTATCTTTTTACCATCCCACAGGCAATAATTTGGTCAATACAAGAGATCAATCACGTGAACAGGGAGAGGGCTGAGGAAATGTTTCTGGAGGGAAGCAAGTCCACTGTGACAAATGCTGAAGTCGAAGAGTTTAAGTCGACGTTAAAGAAAAAAGGGAGAGTAAACAGAGAAGAAGCAGAAAAGAGGATAAGGCGGGCAGAAAGAGCAATGGCTTGCTGAAAGCTGAAGATCGCTGTACCCGTAGTAAATCCACGCACCTTTGCGTGAAAGTCTGATGTACTTACGCCGCGTTTCGGTTGTTCAGTAGCCGTAGCAACGTCTCTACAAAAGAGATAACATGCACTTTCAGGATATTTTAGCGCTGTTCTAGAATGCAGAGTAGATTTAAGATAGTCTGACAAGTGGCAGATTTTACTGATTAAATAGCCCTTGCAATCTGTAGGACATAGCCACAGTCTCTAATACTCTTGGGTATAAAGTTGCCAAGATGAACAATAAATAGTCAGTCATAAGACGAAAGAAATTTAATCAATGATGAGGCTCACTTTATTGTGAGATTTAGAAAAAGTCCCTACAAGGTGTGTCCTGTAGAAATATCGCATCAAATGTGTATTTTTAAGCAGTCGTGGTTGCAAGTATAAATTAAGGTATCTTTATTATAGGCTTGTGATGAAAAAGATCGAGTTAGAAAAAATTCAATTTCATTCTGCACCTTACATTAGTTGACTAACACGACTAAATAACTGAGCACACTCTTACATTGAAAAGGAACAGATTTCCTTTTTAAGTGCCATGGACCTTTAGTTTGTTAACTAACAAAAAATTAATGTTTTATAACAGGGGCATTTTATCCTACGTTACGGATAATAAAGGACCTACGATGACGCAACATTCTTGACTTTTTGTGTGTGAGATGATTGCCTTTCAACTGTTACTGAGTGAGTGAATCCAGAAATTGAAGAAAAGCTCTCTTGCGTATGTACATCATTTGCCGAAAACCCAACAAGAACGTCATTTTCATCACTCATTTGACATAGGCCTTTTTTTTTATCTCAGTATTTTGGAATACTCTCTCTGAAATTCATCTTGATAAGGAGGCTTGGGGCTGAAACTGGTTTTCTCACATGAAGATTCACTGACGTTATTTTTCGCATGAACGAATAGTTGAATGAAGGTAGGATCTGCTCCCTCAATGTGGAAGACAACAGTTTGGATGACAAAAATAACGAGGTGTGAGATTTTTATTTATGTTTTAACTCCTGGCCCAGGCTGTTCCCGACCATTATTTGAGCCTAGAACACCAAACGTATGTTGTAACGTGGACTAGAATGTCGAGGTGGACTGGATTCCTATTAGAGTTAGAGTTATGCTGAGAAGACGCATAGAATGTCGTGACGGTCCACGGTTGACAAAGACTGGGCTGGAGTGGGAGGTTACCTAGTTATTCGCGCGCATTTTCTTGGAACCCAGACAGACTGAAATAGGTGAACTGAGTTGCTGTTCTAAGTCCTTATAAAATTACTTGGTTTAGCATCATGTCGAAAAGAGTTACATCGAAGCCAACTGTATCAGATAGTAGCGATTCAGATGAAGAAGAGGTAGGCGCTTGTAAGAAAGAATCAGTTGATTGCACAGTTTACAAGTTGTAAACTCAGGGTTTTATTTTTCATCTTGGCTACATTTTCTGTCTCAGATCAAACCAAGAAAGAACAAGCCTAAAAAATCGAAAAAGGAGAGTGGCACCGAACATACAGAGCCGGGTGTGTTTGAGGTTAGTTTAGAGGTTGTAATACGTAGCAATGCTTGCGCTGTCCATCGTACGTAACATCGAACTAAGTGGGATTTTTTGAAACTACTGCTATTTGGCAAACATTTAAAATTTTTCTAATCGTAAGAAGATAGATTGATTTTTAGATTTGTGTGGAAAAAGGTTGGATTTCCTTTCCCTCTTCTTGCCTCACGTGAAGGCATCGTTGAGCGAAGGTATGGCTTCGGGAAGAGAGGGTGGGGTGGGGGAGTTTTGTTTGCGTGAGAAATTGTATGCGTTTTGAGGTCTAGGGATTAGGCTGACTTAAAAATGAATAGAATTGTTATATTCTCGCCCAAATCTAAGACAAGTAGAAAGTGGTGTGCTAAAGATCCCAAGGTAGGGCTCACTGGGTTTCAATTGAGTCTCTAAACCTTTTGATGTCAACATTCAGGGAAATGTTCGCCAAGTAGATGTCTTTGATGGCATGAGTGAGGTGATCTAGCATGTTACACCTAAGGTTAACTATCATACACCTTAGGCAGGTTCTATAAGTAAACACAGTTTTTTTTTTGTTGCTCTTTTCCTTTTTCAGTTAACTAACAAACGTAGAGTAACTGTGCGAGAGTTTAAAGGCAAAATCCTGGTTGACATTAGGGAGTTCTATGAAGATAGCGCTGGTGAAATGAAGCCAGGAAAAAAAGGTAAGACAAGAATATGGAATCTGAGTAGCTCAGAACCAGTTGTGATTGTCTACTGAAAGATAAAAATCCAAGAACAAAATTAAGCTCAAAATGTCTGAAGATTTAAATGGTGCTTTTCATTATTAGGGATATCACTGCAGCTGGATCAGTGGGAAACTTTGAAGAATCATATAGCTGATATTGATGAGGCAATCGAAGAGATGAAGTAATATTTGTTAGTACAAGGTACTGTGTTTGAAATCAGCCAAATGGCTCATCATTAGTGCTTTAGAAAGCTTAGCCAATGATTATCTTGATAGGAGTTAACAATCCTAGACAGCTGAAAGACTTAAAAAGGAATAAAAATAGGGACTAAAATTATTCAACTCAATTCAAGTGCTAAATTAACATGTAATTTTGTTTGTGTTTTTTATTTTTTTCTAGGTCTTATATCACAGCTCAATGTGATATTGATGTCAACAAGTCTGGATTGATACCTAGATTATCACCTCTTTCATTTTAAGACAATTTGCAAAAAGTGTATCAAATGTTGTGTTTCACAATTTGTTTTGTTCACGTATTGAAAAATCCTCTTATTGTGACCTTGGAAGGCATGTGGCCGATTTTGGTTCTAAATAAAAAATGTTAAACCAACAAGTGGACAGATTTTGCCATAACTTACACTCACTGCTGTCTACCTCATATTCAGCACTCACACCTTTGGGGTCATAGGTTACTTAGATGCTACACACTCTTGAAAGCCAAGGAGTATTGAAATCTTAAAATCCCATCATTAGACCTTGCATGTGTATGGGAGGAGGGCAAAAAACTTGAGCATCAAAGGTACTCCTTCCCTGATCTATTCAAAATTGACCATTTTTTCCTGCATCAAAAAATTTGTTACTGCTCCTACACTTCTTTGGTTAAAACATTGTCAAAACATTGTCAAAACATTGAAGATGGTAGTTCAGGAGGTGATTTGTACTTATCTAAGATGCAATGAAAGAACTTAATATTATTTTCCTAATATTAAATCCTAATTTAAAGCTAAATGTCAGTTTTGGGGAAAGACTTGACAGAAAAAGTATAAACCTCGTTGCAAAGCAGTAATATGGAATAAAAAATAACTGAATATTTCTAATTTTTACTCTGGTTTAGAGAATTTGTTTTGAACAGACCAGCTTAATAGGCCAGCGTAATATGCAATAAAAAATAACTGAAAATTTCTAACTTATACTCTGGTTTAGAGAATTTGTTTTGAACAGACCAGCTTAAAGGAGCACATGCAATTGATCTGTTCAGATCTAATGATAAAATTTATTGACAGCCCTGTCAGTAACTGAGGTCCATAAGTAAAATACTGTTAAAGGAATACATAAATAAGCACTGTTGTGTTGGAATCTTGTACAAAGACTAAAAGTGCAATGAAATGATACATAGTCACGACATTTTAATCCACGATTGTTTGAATTGCTGGTTTTCAGTGTCACGCCATTCAAAATAGATCAAAATAAAAAATAAAAACCGTTCAATCGATTTAGTCTAGAATCTGGAAATAGAAAGAAGCTAGATATGTAAAGACTCTCGCCAAGATTCAGGTCACAGCAATTTTTCTTACGGAAGATATGAGGAGAAACGTTTTTCCCAAATTTATAGAGATTTGTATGGAGCCGCCATGCTGGTGCCCACCTAGATGGGCACCAACATTGGCGGCCGGAAACCAGCAGAAACATCTGTCACTGAGTTTTGCTACAAAAGCGTGAATTTATCTCTCTAAGAACTCATAAACGTAACAATAATACTTTATTCTAAAACAAGAACTGTTCAGATAGCTGAATTTCCCTAAATAAGTCACCTTTTAAACCAACATAACAGCTCTCTCGCTCGTCATGTAAAGGCCACGTCACGCAAAAGCTTAGAAATTCAAGAGTAGTCTATCACTAAACCAAGAACCCATTTGGAGTGAAAATTTGTCTGAATATTAGTTTTTAGCTGCTCTAATACATCATGAAAGTAAAATCTCAGGAGGATCAATAGTTCTGAAGTCTGAAATTTAGTGACGTCACGTGAAAACCAGCAATTGACACGAATGTCACGCCAAAAAAGTTAATGTTCTACTGAGGAAATAACCGCTGACCACCTACTCTTTTTTTTTTGAAATTTCAACGGTAAGAAGAGCGGTATGAACATGGCAGCTTCTATCGAGTTTAGAGTGCCTCAAAACAATCCAATAAGAGCGAACCTGCAAGCAAAGAAAAAGCTGCCGCAGAAAACGCGATCAAAGGGACAACTTGAACATCGATCTTCTGCAATCTTGCCATTTTCGGCTTGGGTAGAACCGCATCGTGGACCAACTCATGGAAGCTCACTTGGAGCCCGTGAAGAAGAACTCCGACTCAGAAAAGTTATACAAGAAAAAGAAGAAAGGCTCAAAGAATTCCAACAGGTGGTAAAAGCGAGAGTCAGAAATGTTGAGCATATGAAACGAGAGGAGCAACATGGCATGTCGATAGAGGCTTTTGAAGTGGAGCGCAATGTTGTGCGCCAAAGTTCTTTACCAAGTACTATCAGACGGGACAATTGTGTTTATCGCGACCAATCTGAGCTCAAAATCCAAAGGAGCGTGACTCGAGATTTCACAGCAGTAGATACTGCAAGTCAGCTATTGGATGAACATGCGAAAAAGATCAGAAATTGCTCGAAACATGCGAGGAAGGTTCTCAGTTCCAAAAGTCTTGGAGCAGAAGTTGAGCACTATAGTAAACTCCTTCCTGGAGGCTTGTGGCGGACGTCTCCAACTAAAGATCATGGTTTATCCAGGCAGCCAGTTTCTAACTCAGAACAACAAATTCTCAGTAGTGATTCATTAAAAGAAATCGGTGATTATTGGATTGGAGAAAATGCCATACAAGATCAAAGTTTGGACAATGATCACTTCATTCCAGAGAAAGGTCTGCCGGTAAGTGGAGACCAGGCATCACCTGAGAAACATGTTCACTTTGAACATGGCGAGAATGCAGAGATTGAAAACCAGGACTGGAAAAGCCAGCTTCAAAAGATTGATGATGCATCGGTCAAGAAAAAAGACAATTATGTTGAAATGCTCTTACAGCCCTCTAGGCTTTTGGAGGAAAAGAGGGCACATGCAAAATCTCAAGTTGCTGTGTACAGGAGGCTGTTTATGGACATTGAAAGGGAGCAAGTGAGGGAAAACATTAGAATGAGGGAGCATCGTAAAAGAATGGAAGCTCTGAAAGTTGAAAAAGAAGTTGAACGCCTTGAGGTAGAGCAACAGGAGGTCAACAAGCTAAAAATGCAAAGAGTCAGAAAAGAAGAGGAGTCTTTTCTCAAAGCTCAAAAGGAAAAGAAAAAGGAAATGGATTTGGTTAGGAGACAAAAAAAACTTCAAAAAGAGAGGGAAACAGAGAGATACATTGAAGCTTTACAGGCTGTTTTAAGAGACAAGGCCCAAAGCAGGAACATTGTTCTTCCCCCCTTGTGTTCCTGCGGGCTAACAATCTGGGACACGAACCCTGATACTTGTGCTAACAACTGTGTTTTTTATAAAAACCCAAAAGCTTATGCTAAAGCTTTGTCCACAGTACTGGCATCCTCAAACCTTGATTGATTATAACAAAGAACTCACAGAAATACTGTTATAGGCCTTCATTACTCTGACATCTGTAGAAGATCAAGAAGTCAGGGTTTTCATTAAGAAAAAAAGAAGCAAGAGAATACTGTAAAACAACTGGTGAATGTTCTTCCTTGCTAAATGAGGAGGAGCTTATGCAATTAAAATTTACCCGGCAGATAATTTTGTGCAGCAGATGGACAATTTTCCAATCTTTAACACCCAATGAACAGCCAGTCAATGAGCAGTGATATAAAACTAGAAATCATCACCGGTTTATATTTAATTACCAAAAACTTCAGGTGCAGAATGATGTTGTCTGTGAGAGCAAAAAACTTTTTCAGCAAACTGAAAAAGGTGTCTGCTCTCAAGAGTAGAAAAAGATGCAACAGCAATCAAGTCTAATTTCTACATTATATCCAAGTAGACAAATGATCATCAACATCTCCACTCAATTTTTCTAATCCAGGTAAAGGTAAAATTCTTATATGTAGCTTCGCACACCTTTCACCAACTTGCTTTGATTGCTGGCCTGATCTATCGGGCAAAGCTGCTTGTCTACCTGAGCCAGAGAAAGCCTGCTTGTAAGCTATCTTATACATTCTCTTTGTCAACCAATCTCTATCTTTTAACCATATTTGTGGGTAAAAATGAAATATAATGAGCTTACCCAGCAGTTAGCTAATAAATTTATTAGTGATTAAATGTTACAAGTTCATAATTTTTTTCATTGCAAACATACACTCTAAGAAATAAACTACAAAATTTAATAAAATGTCACAACTGCTGTTTTGCTCCAAAAGGAAGTTCATCTGTAGTCTGTTCACTAGTATCTGCATCACAAGCATCACTTGTAGATACTTGAGGTTCATTAGATCCAGGGTTAGAGCTGTGACGCAGATTTTGCATTGCCTGTGAAGTATGCAAAACAACTAACATTACAAATAGGGCACTAAATGTTTTTTTTCTGTCTTTGAAAACAAATAAGTACCACTTATTTTAGTCCAAGTGTTTAAAGAGTGCAAATATACCTTTTGGATGACTTTATGTGACTGAACTATTTCTTTGTAATTATTGAGTGAACTTCCCTTTGCAAGTTATCCACTCACCTGATAATAACCTGTGTGGTAGCCACTCAAGTACCAGGCCATTAACATACTGGCTAGTGCATCATTGTCATGAGAAACATCACTACTGTTTACTGGAGCTGGAGGAGGAGGCATAGGTGCATGTGGAAACTGTTGATAAAGAAGAAGTACTAACTGTAGAATTGACACATTTAAGTAAATTTGCGAATAACTAGACTTAAGACCTAGGCATACAGGTTTGTGATCTGACTGACAGAACATTACTGATTCTTGTCCTTAGGAAGGTTGGCACTTCTCCAATGTTTACTATCCCATCTATTTTTCCTTTCTGTTTGCTCTCAGTTGTAAATTAAAGGACATTCAATTCTACACACATTCTAGCTCTATTGGTAGATGGAAAAAGCCCTTGGTAGATGGCACAGGAAAGAGAGAGGAGTAAACTGAAGTAGAACTAAAGAAAAGGAACAATGTGGTTCACTCCTATGTTATACCATTAGTTGGACAACCCGGGTTCTAGTCCTGGCCAGGGCAAGGTGTTGTGCCCTTGAGACGTGTGGGAAAAAAAAATGCGAGGTCTGCTTTTAGGCTTGGCTAAATCTATATATTTAAGTTTGAAAATAGTGGGTCAAAAAAATCTTGAAAAAAAAAAAAGATAAACAAGTAGCTATTACTCTATTATAACTTGCCATTCCTCACTGAATTTAGCACAGTTATTTCATAGATCCTGATGCTCCAAACACTTGTATGGGTTACAGTGCTGTTAATGATCTACTTACGGAGTTTGTAGGTACTGAGGGTTGTGATCCAACAGGAGGAAGGAGCACAGGGGGAACAGGAGGAGGAGGAGGACATGGTGTAAAGAAATTCATCTGAGAAAATGATTTAATAAATGGTAAATATAAGGAACAGTAGACAGTCAGTATTTGGAGTCATTTAAAGATCTCTCTTTCTCAATGGTGAATAAAAATGCAGTACTTTTCTCTTCTAATTCACTGAATACTTACAGGAAACTGATGGCTGGTAAATGGGGCTCCTGACACAGGGTATCTTTGGTCAGTTAAGTAAGGATGATGATGATTGTGATGGTGGGGGCGTACTTGGCGCGACGAGTGTGAAGGCCTCAGTGTTGATAGGTCTACATCTTGTCTGAATAGTAAACATTGAAGCTTATAAACTCAACCAGTGCTACTTTACTTTTCGCTTGGTAAAACTTTGATACTGGAGTCTTTTTCAAAACTAATACAAACATGATGGTTCTAACCTTTGTCTGGATCTGAGGAAAGTGACCTTGCAAGTGTATGGTGTTGGAAAAGAGTTAATAACTGCTTCATGTAGGTGCTGACTTGGTTGTTCTGGAGCTAGACACAAGTCACTTACTTGCCATCTGATGGGTGACTGGCCCCCAGTACTCCAGTCCATTTCATTATCACCACTCTAACAAACAATCACAACGAGAGTTATATTGAACTAGAAAATGTAGAGCACTGTGTACCATCAGTAAACTCAAAACTATGGTTAACAATTACATTTTGTTCAAGGGAAGCCAGCTGAGCACAATGATGTCCACTTTGTCTGGGAGACTTAAAATCTCTTTTGGATGGTGGCAAAAGATCATCTAAGTTCTTTTCTTCTTCATTACCATAGCCAGAAAACCTGACTACACAAGTATTGGAACTGCCATCAAGCGAGATTACCACTGCATTATAAATCTGTTCATCTTCAGAGTAAAAAGCCCGGCATTTGTCACCAACATGCCACTGAAAGAAAAGTTTAATACATCAAATTTACACTTAAATGTATATAAGATTCATTTCTCAAACTCTAAATGATAAAACATTTTTTACATATCAAAAACTTTATCAAATGCATTTGTACCTCCTAGTGTTAGGATGGGTTACTCTACTAGTTCTGTTGGAACTCACACATGGATATTGAGACTTGACATTAAGTTATAACTGACTCCATCTCCATTGTCATAACAAAGTTAGCACAGGAGTATTTAATTCTCCCTACCAAAATTGAATTTCTTGCTTTTCTAACATTTGTCCCAACTTTACCTACCCTAAGATTGTCTAAAAAAGTCTAAGAAATCATCCCTTGCACTTCTAAACATTTCCTAATTACTATTTCTTTCTTAGCATTCACAAAATAATTTTCAAAACTAACTCTTGCCTCAATTGTCTGCCCTGTTGTTTTATTCTTGTCCTTTTTCTTTGAGGACTGTTGTTTCCTAAAAAGTAAAGTTTGGAAGAAATAATATGTGCAACACTTAACATAGAATGAGGAGTCCTCTGAAACAACACAGGTGTTTAGGAACATCCTGAAGGAGTTTAAATGCAACTGGATGAATTTCAAAGATTATCAAAAGCCTTAGTTAGCAACTTGTTAATAGCTCTCTACTTTAGGAGCAACTTCAGCTGTTATTGTTGATATCATTCTCACAGTTTTACATATTTTCTAAACAGAGTTTTCATCTCTCCCCTGATGATGAAAACAGAATTTCTGCAATTTTTTAACTTGTACCTGTTTTTACCACCATTCTTTCCTTTTGTGCCACCATTCTTCCCTCCATTCTGGTTGATGAAACAGTCATTAAAAAAGGGATATTACTGAACAACATGCCATACATTAAAATCACAGGCAGAAAAGAAGAACATTGTTAACAGAAAAACCAATGAAACTTAGATGTATAGCAAATTATAAAACTAAATATTAGTAATTTTACCCATAATAACTGAGAGGTTAAAATCAAGCTGAGCAGAGAAAAGTAATCTTAAGAATTTATGAACACTTGCAACGAAGTAATAAGTTAAGGCTTCCCACTGTCATAGAGAAAGTAAAGAACAACTTGCAAATACCTTAATAGCATTTATTGCTCGATCGTATGCCTCTATTAGTGCGGTGTCATCCCAGATGTCTGACGTGTCAGCCTGCTAGAAAAGTTGTCAACAAACTCAAAGATTTTAGGACACATTCTCAAAACTAAGTCTCTTTCACTAACCGTAGACGATCTATGACTAAACATTGCTGGAATAAACGTTTACGGTTTGCATTGGTGATGTGGATCTAGGTATGAATTATGAGGCTTCCAAAGGTATTTTCTTCGAGTTAAGGAGAAAAAAAATATGGTTGTATTCTGTCAAATAGCCAGGGCATTAAAGATGGTCAAACAAAATTGCATCCAGTGCTGGTATCAGCTGACGGCTGTGTTGTAACATCTGTGTTTGAGACGGTAGCCTTGAATATACAATTGTTTCTGAAGAGATGTAAAATCACTCAAAATAAAATACTAACATAATAGACCTAAAGTCCCGAAGATTGTTTAAAACGTCGCGCTTTCATACCTCGCCAACTCTGAAAATTACATCTCCACTCTTGGCCGCCATTTTACAATGACTTCAGTACCAAGCCTCGCGCAACAGTTAGTTATTGGGAAAACTTGGGAAAACTGGCTCTAGCAGCACGTGGACTCGCTAGACTGCGAGCTATTATTTTCTCATTTTGCCACTCAGCTTTCTGAGATTTTGCTTTGATGTTCACCGTCATCCTCAACTAATGTGGGTATTACTTAAGGTGGTGAGGATCTGGTAGTAACAGTTGGTCATATATGTGATTGTCCGGGTTAGGGTATCATGGGTAGCTCTGAGAAGGTTCGTTGTACAAGAAAGTGGCGAAGTTTTAACCAGTTTCACCGGTCTTCATCATCAAGAAGAACCGTCAGTTAATGTTCACAACTCCCGAAAGTCATGTGGCCTAAAGTCATGTGGCCTGGAACCTGAGTCACGTCAACCGAAATTTTAGTCATGTTACTTTTCACTTCAGGCGACACGACTAAGATTTCGGGAGACGAGACTAACGTTCCGGGCAAATTGACTTTGGAGAAGACGACTTTCCTGCGATTTGGCCTGTTACCGATTGAGGACTTCCCTCACTTACACGATAAATTAAATTTATTCAAGTGTGGAATAAATCATCAGTAGAAATAGTAGCCTAAAAATCTTATCCAAATACAACTTTACTTGCAAATGGCATTCCCCTATTCACCTCCAAAATAAACCGCACTGCGATAAGGAGGCCCTAAGATATAATATATATCTCATGAAGATAACAATTACTTGATGGGTTTGAGCAGATCAACAAGAATCAAAATGCTTGACAGTTCTCACTATCAAAACACAATCCAATCTTTGTTTATTAGGAATCCTTTTAAAACTATTTTCTGAGCTATAGGCCCCTGTGTACAAGTACGAGAGGTCTTGCTTCAGATATGGTAGCTATAAGCTGTGTGCTTATGGCTGCCTAATTAGAATTAAGATCATGGCACAAAAGTATAACAAATAATATGGCCAACTACTGTTATGCTGGACAACTGTCGTGTTCATTCTTTTCCTTAGCTTGTCATGCAAAATAGCAAAATTGTAGCAGCAACGGTAGTACTCCATTGCAGACAATTTAATAGTATTATAATAATGTGATATCAGCTTTGTATAACTGTTCTCAATTCTGTTTTTCTGCAAGATTGTTTTATAATTACAGAATAGAAAAATACAATGGTATTGTTCAAGATGTCCAAACAACTATTTTGAGCAATCCTTCCCCCCTCAACAGGCTTGAAAGACTAGTTCCACTAGCTGATTTGCTTTAGCATAGCAAAGATAATAAGTCTTAGTGAGATTACTAGATCCTCAAGGCTATAGGGTGAGTCTGCACGGGGTACATGAACAAATGCCACAGTGCCCCTGCCATGTCCAAGATGAAGAGATTTGTAGTACGAATAATCACACAAGAACCTGAGAATGGAAAGCAAAAATACACATGATTAATACATCAACACTACAGAGCTGACCAATCATTTTCCAATGCTGTTAATGTTTCTGCAAACACCAAACAAAAAAAAATATTAACCTTCCTGCATCATCAGAAGTTCCTACAAGACATGGGCTTTTAGCTGTCATCACTTCAGAGCACAGTCTGTCCAAATCAAGAGAAGTAAACAGGCACTCCTCTCCTCCTGAACAAATCACATTTATTTTAGTATCATGAGGTATCACAACTGAAACATTTACAATCTGTGCAGACACAAAGCAAACTTTTTAAGGCCTCCATAGCTATTTGCTGACTCACCAGAGAAGCAGAAGAGGACAAGGAAGCCTGATTCTAGGGGTGATCTCAAGGATGAAGGCAGTGGAGGGGGGGTGGGGGGCAGAGGCACTGTCATAGGAACATACTGAAAAGTCAGGCTTTTGGTGAGAACAGCTGTCAACCCTTTTTGTTGTCTGCAGTCAACTTAAAGAGGAAGAACTACTCACCATCAACACAGCAGCCTTTTTCACATTTTTTGCCACTCTCATCAGGTCTGTTGTAGCCATAGTTATGACCACACATCTCCAGTTGAATGCTGTCTGCAAGACCATGGACACCCACATGTACACAGAGCTGATAAAGGGAGGAAAATCAGTGCTTTAGGTTACCCAGTTTTGACATCAATGCTACAATGGTGTAAATAGGGTTGGGTATGGGTGGGGATCCCCAGGGGCATGCAATATCTCTTTATAAAGAAAATATGATAATATATATCTTCACCATGATAACAGTGATCTTTAGCATTGTTGTCATCATCATCATCATTACTGTCATAATTTCTTTCCTGAAGCAGAGTTGTTGCACTGTCCTATTCTACATCCTCTTATTCATCAAATTATCTAAAATCCTCACTAAATTTGAGGTCAACTCTCTGCATGCCAAGAAGAGGAATCTTCTAATGATGATAAAGATCTCTGAAGTTACCTTGGGTTTTACTTCATTCCATAACTGAGGAACCTGTTCATCCACTGCATTGTACTCCACAGGAATCTCCTTTATCACCAAATTGACTTCTTCTGCAAGATCAGTGTTTGGTAATTCCTAAGATGTTAAAACAGATTTACTGAACATGGAGATCTCTACTGTCACAGTCTGAATATGGCCAAAATCACATAAACTATATGTAAGTATAGGAATAATAAACAGTATGATAAAAGGAGCATTTAAAAGCATCATGGTGTACCTTGACAGCCTCCCAACTGGTATTAACTTGATGCAAACCAAATGGACCAAACCCTGCCAGATAATAGAAACACAAAATGATAGTGACCCTTATTAGTAAAAATAAAATTGCCACAACTGTTTACTAACATGAGGCCCTAACTTTGGAGAGATTCTGGGTAGACACCATACTTTAAAAATTTTCCTTCAATAAGCCAAAGCTCTTGTAAATAAATTCAATTTTTTTAAATGGATCTATCTTAAACATCCGCAAAATTATGTTGTTTTTGCACGCATTATCCTGAACCCGCATATTTACATAACCCTTCTATTCCGAGTCGGCCAGCGATTATCAATTAAAATCCATAGGTCACCACCAATTTTTTCAAAATCCCAACTATATAATGTCATACGAGTAATCGTAACCTGGTAGAAAAAAATAGCCCAGAAAGGTTTCTGCATAACCCCACACTATTCTGAAACAAAGTATTTGTCCCAGTCCAAGTCCTTTTTAGTTTTCATTTGCTTTTATTAAATACCTGTATGCATAATCAAGCAAGGCTTCATACAGAATTCTAGTACACATACCTTTGCGAAGCAATTTTTAAGTGGGAAAAACGATCGATCTGGTAGCAAATCATAACATGTGCCTCACCTGTTACTAAAACCGTGGCTTTCTCTACGGCCATGTTGACAAGTGTGACCGGCTGAAAACTGAGAAGGAATAACGCAAAATTCGTACCCAGTCTCTCATCCAAGCCTCTTCCAAGATGGCGGGTCGAGGTCGAGGAAGAGGCAGAGGACGAGGATTTTCCTTTGACGTAGGAGTCATTGGCTTTAAGCGTGGGGAAGCTTTACCCGCTACAATACAACAGCCTCCTCCACTTTACCCGGTTGGTGAATTTGTTGTGTCTTTCTTACATTGAAATTACACCGATAATTAATTCAATCATAACGGGGTTCGGGCTCTTGTATTGTTAAGGAATGGTTATCGAGGCCATTTGTAAGGTCTGCGTCAGACACACTCTCCACTCCCATTCACTTCCATCTCGCTGCCCCACACTTAGTCTGCAATATACTACACAGCTGCCTATTTCTCTTATTTCTACCATTTCCTTGACTTTGCTCTATTTTCCCGGCCGAACGCTGTGATGATGACGATGATGATGACGATGATGATGACAACGATACCTATATCACCTGATCTCTGAATATTTTAGCCTTTAGATGTCAAACCATTGCCATTAAGACAGACAGATGCCGATGAATACATGCTTGCATTGAAACAAGAATTAAGAGGGTGTATGCGTGAACTACCTTATTTCGTGAAAGCAGAAATTAAGTCCAAAGGTAAGAGGCAGTTTTTTCGAATTTCGCTCCTTTTTTATTCAGTAAAAATCATAAGCAGATTTGGAATAAAACACTCCATCAAATGACCTCGGAAACATGATTGTCTCTTTGGCTGTTTAAAATTGTCCAATCTGAATTTCAGATCTTTTTTTACAAAAAATAATAGGTTTCTGGCGTTTTTCTTTTTCCACATCAGATATTGAGAGGTTTTCAGACAGATACAGAGAAAAGAAAAAGGAAGAATTAGAGTGGCAACCAGGTAAAGGCAATTTTCATAGGGTTTTAGGTTTAATGGTGCATGCAAGTATACAAGAATATTTATTTTGGAAATATATGATCATCAACAAAATTTGTCTCTTTCATTCCAGACTGGAGATTATTTCCAAATGAGTTAAAAATAAGAGTGAAAAAACACAGGAATCCTAGCAATGCAAGTATGAATAATTTAAATCCTAATCAGAAACAGTCCTCAAATTAGCCATTCTCACTTATGCCAGCCCTTTCCTCTCATTATTTTCTCTTCACTTCCAAGATCTGGGATTTAATTTTCTCAACTCGTGAACCAATCCTTTGTTGTTGGTCAAGAAAAAGACTTAAGTTGTACATCTAAACATCTTTAACTTTTGATGACACTGATTCTCAACACTTTTTCACTTCACTTTATATGATATTGAAAAGCATTCAATTTATATGTTATTTGGTAGGGTATTGTTAAATCCTAATACAAGAAAAAATATGACTGATTTAAAAGAAACATCTCTATGGGATTTTTTTTTTTTTTACCTTTGTGGAAGGACCAAGAATTGGCAAACCAGTTAAAAAGAATAGTGTTGGTGTGGAGGCTTTGAAGCAGCTTGAGGTACCAAAAATTTAAAATATAAATTCTTCTGTGTGTTTGTTGACTTATTTGTATACCTGGTTCTTAGCATTTAGAATGAATGGAAACATTTAAGAGGATAAAGTGTTATCTAGACTCACGGTAAAAAATGGTTCCATTTTTAAAAATTATTATAGCGGAGCTTGCAGAGCATAGCCCCATAATTATACAAAATAGTAGTAACCCATCAAGCTGAAAAAATTTGGATGTACGACCATACGACCATACAAGGTGCTACTTTTAACATGCGTGGTCAACTGTACCGTAGGCACGCCAACACCACAGCTTTGTTCAGTAGCCCAGTGGTCAGTGCACTGGGCTCTGAGTCGGATGATCCAGGTTCTAGTCCTGGCCAGGGCAAGGCGTTGTGCCCTTGAGACATGCGGGAAAAAAAATGCAAGGTCCACTTTTAGGCTTGGCTAAATCTATATATTAATTAATTCAAAAAGTTACCTTCTGCTTTCATGGCAGGTGATTATTGTTATTGGGCAAATAGACTCACCATGCAGTACTTATGCCACATAAACATTGATTATTGAAAGGAAATTTCACCAATTTGTTAGGGGGGGGAGGTAAAGTTATGGTGATTTAATTGATTCTGCATCTACATTGCCTCTCCAGGAAATGGTCCAGAAAGAGGGTGATAATGATCAAGCTAATGATCAAGAGGAAGAAGGAACAGAAGGAGAAAGTGGCGAGGAAGAACTGGAATATGACGAAGAAGAACAGGAAGAGGTAAAAAAAATAATCAACACTTGAAGCATATTTGTTTTCTTTTATCTTCACCATAACAAAAAATCATTTTTGGATGGTATGGGTTTTCATGAAAAGATAGTGGTAGGAGGAGAAAAATGTTAAGGAACAGGTTTATTTCCACATCTGAATAAAACATAGCTTAGGCCATTGAAATTTAGTCTGATGGTTCTACTTACTAATAGAGGGTGTAGAATTCTCTGATTTAAATGCTTAATGAACACACTTTGCCAAGCAATAGCTGATGCAAGCTTGAACAAAACTAAATATCTGCCTGAAGAGTTCACTTCTCAAAGAAGTGTAGTACACACCCCTTTAATAAAACATACTGAGCCATATCTCAAGTAGATACCACTGACTGGCTGGGTTTTACATTTTCTAAATCTTGCAGGAAAATGATTACTTGGTGTCACACTTTGATGATGATGAAGATGCCTTTATGGATGATGATGACATGGATGAAGGGCCAATCTACTGATGCTTAACATCATGAAGTGAAAGAAGAAAGCAATTGGGGACAGCTTGTTTAGCTGACCTGTCCAGCCAATTGAGATTGTAATAGATTAAAAAGAGGCCAGGAGGGAGAGGCATGCATCTTCACAAATGACTCGACAAAGGATTGACAATGGGCTCAACTGGAAATCAAGTGAAGGAAAAGCACAGTTGGTATTGTGTTACTACTGCTCTTTCACATAAAAAAGTCTTCTATCCCTTTCTGAGGATTCATTTTTACATGGCTCAATGACTGCACAGTATCTTAATGATCAATCAGAAAATGATAGATGGCAATCTTTATAAAGAAGAAGGAAAGTCACGAATACCAAGTATACAATTTGCGTACAATGCACCAGAAGATTTTGGACTATGGCAAATAAAAGGTGGTTGAATGTATGAAAACCAATGATAAAGAACTGATGGAAATGTCTTTTAAAAAACAAATCATCTGATAAAAGGAAAGGAGAAGCATTGATCTTGCCTATGTTGTGGAAAAGTGATGACTGAACTCACTAATTTTTTCTTACACCTTTTGTCTTTGATGCTATTTGGCATTCAGAGTTCTACGGCGTGTTCAAGTTGATTGCCCTTGCATAACACAGCTGCTGGTCTGTAGGAGAGTACTGAATTGCTTTGTCAATTATATAGAGATTGTCAATCTCTACATTGGTTTTCAATCCATTATTTCCACTCCACCATGTTCCAATTTGAGTTTTTCCACTCATTCCATCATAGGAACTTCCCCCTTCCACAGAGTTGTCTTTTTTACCATTGACAAATATTTTTCTGAGGAGATTAACAAGATTGGTGTAACTAAAATTAATAGTTATTTCTCAGTTAAAACAAGTTCCTTTTCTTGTAGACTTGACAAGGACTTTCTGGTATAATAAACAAATATAAATAATTATCAATTGACCAATTTGGCTCTCGCTTGCTTTTAATGAAAAGAATTCCTGTAAAGAAAATTCTGCCATGAGGGCCTTGCCCACTGTACAAGCAGGGGCCAGAAAAGCTGCACAGCCCAGCATACTAAAAAAGAGGAAAGAGGAAAGGAAGGAAGAGAACAAGTAGTTGTCACGTGACAAAGTGTTTATAAAGTGAGCATAGAGCATCTATCTCACCGCATTCCATTAGCTTTAGTCCAAGTCCATGTGATGTGGTACCATCTTCCATATTCAAGTGCATCTTTTCCCATAAGGTCATTTGTATAGAATCCAAACACAACATTCTGGAGAGTGCAATCCATTAACAAAAGAAAAAAAATACATTTTTTTTTCAATTGGGCAAATTTAAGTCACAAAGCAAATAGTAAAGGAATCTGAAACCTTCCTCTTGGTCATCATTTTACACAGAGAAGCTTTCTAATGGCAATTTTAAAACAAACATTATTTATCTTGAGGGTTAATTCGTGGATATCTTTCATGGTGAGCCTACTAGTTATGGTTCTTTTTTATTCATGTATCTTTGCCCACTTGGCATAACATCAACATGAGAAAAAAACAATAGAGGTTTCACTCAAAACGGCTACTTTGCTGTTGCAAAGAGGTGTGGCTGTCAGATTATACCTTGTTTTTCAATCCGAGGTGAAAGCCCTTATTTTTTGCTGCTTCTCCATCTCCAAGTACAAGAACCTCTTTGTTAATTCCTAGAATGCCATCATCGTGAGACCTAAGTAAGGCCATAACAGACCATTCATCACCACTCCAGAAATCCACTGGGATGCCATGTAAATTGATGTATTCCAGGCCTTTGAGCCATACTGCTTGACCCATTACACTGGTGATATATTGAGTGATGTTTTGCCCTCCAGCATTACCTAGGTACTCTAAGATCAGAGATATAGATGTCTTTATCCTAAATGATGTGTTACAGTAATTCCATATTTATTTTAATTGAAATCCATTACCATTTTGCATTTTTTTGTATGTTGATTACTAAACCTTTCACATTGTCATTAATTTAGTATTCATATTCTTCACACTGATCTCTTTACATTTCTTATGGTTCTGTCAGGAGAAGTTGTTTGACAATCAGAAGCTGCTTAAATTGGTGATTCAAGGGTGATACTGTGAGAAGGAAGGAGAAGTTATAAGCCAGTCACTTTTAGGAAGTCAGTTATTTTAACAAAAGTAGAGAACATTTGCAATGTAACAGAACTTACATAGTATCTATTACACTTGCTAGCAAACACCTCTTTATGCCCTTCCTGGGTTCTAATCACTGAAGAGTCATGTAAGGTCTTCACAACTTACATCTTACTGCACAGAATTGAAGGATATGTTTTTACCATTAGATTTACCTGTAGTGATATTATTTAAGGTTGTGTTAGGACTGAGATTTACATCCAGATTTCCATTAAACTGTAACAGCAGGCCAAATGTTGAGCTTTTAAAAGCTTCATGGTTTATCCGTGGTACATTCAGCCCTTCACACACACCTCCCTGATATACCAGCTTCTGCCAGCCTAGTTTAGTGCAAACCTACAGCATGTTTGAGTGATTGTTAGTGAATTTTGCCAAATTATATTTTGTCCTTAAGAGGTCACTACACTTACTTCACTTTCAGAAATATTCTGTAATTAACCTTTTATGACTGATATATATTCCTAATTTTGATCATACAATCATGGATGCCATTTAATTTTTTGGCCAAGACCAGAGAAGAGAAGTACCGGTACTGGTAATTAAAAAAAAAAACATTAAAAAAAAATTCATGTTCTATTCACCTAAATCTCTTATGGTCTGCAACTACTTGACTGGACCCATCAATTTATAAATCAGATTATTTGTTATTTTGAGTTAATAACAAAACATTCAGTAACTACCTGAAGAAATCCTGATATAAACCTAACTGAGCCATGATCACTTGCATTTTCACATCTGAAAAGGATACAGAGACAACAAACATCACATGGTTCCACTAGAGAATAATAAAGATAAATAATAATGTTGTTATGATATTTCATCCACACTTATCAGTAAAAGGACCTACCTCAAAGTGGTCTGATTCGAGCTGTTCAATAATGACCCTGGTGGGCCTTGCTGTCCAGGTTCTCCTTTTGTTCCTTTTGCACCAGTAGGACCCTGAATCCCATCAGACCCATTCTACCCAAAAAGTGTATATACCAACAGTTTACTTCCAGATGATTTTTCATGTTCACACCACTTCAACAAACCACTCTTAATAGTGTTTGCATTACATTTCCCTGCATGCAAGTTAGGAGAACTTTTAATTAAATAAAAAATTAAAATTGACAATTCTGCATGAATTAAACCTTATACCTTCCCTGGTACTCCTTGAATGCCTGGTTCACCTTTCTGGATAGAAAAATTTAAAATGATTTAAAAGAAAAAAAAGGGGTGCATTAAATACAAGTAGATAGTGAATCACACTATTTCTGTTAAGAGACATTGATTGAATCTAACCCTAAATATTTTCTATATTCTTTTTTGTCAACAAACAGGTCAATATATTCAATTTACAATTTTTGTAAACTTAGGTGATATAAAATTGATCCATTACCTGCCCTTTGGTCCCATTCAGACCTGGATTTCCTGTCTCGCCTTTTATTCCCTGGTCTCCCTGTTCTCCTTTTTGTCCAGGAAGCCCAGTCATGTTTGCAGTTCCATTCTGATTTATAAAGACATGCAAACTTGTGAAGGGATCTGTTGTTATGCAATCCAAACCATTAACAGCTTCCAGTGTTAAAATCAACCATACAATGTGATTGATGACATTGAAAATAATGATGATGATTACCATAAATGTTGTTTGTCCTGGTGGCCCTGTTTCTCCTTTTTCTCCTTTACCACCTGCCTACAGTTGAGAAAATTATACCACAATGAATAATTTAAGTGACTACTATTGATATTAATTTACACAATGATGTAATGTTTTCCCACTTTTTAGACTTTCAAACGTTTTATGTAATTAACACTTATTTTGGAATAATGAGTGTCACTAATCATTGGACATGAAGAAATTAATTTTAAAATCAAGTTAAAGTTTTAATGAATTCTGTTACTCACAGGTCCTTGACCTCCTTGATCCCCTTTCTTAAAAATTCAAACAGTTTTGAGTTAGTAATAATATTATACTGCTAATCTTATGTAATTTAAGTCATTATTCATTATTTAAAAACACCAAATTTTGGAGTAAAATTGTCAAAATACCTCTCCTTTAGCATCAGAGACTCCAGACATATTCTACCAAAAGATGACAAAAAAAAATTATAAGTACTCAGATAGATTAGCTACTAAAGTAGGACGGCAAAAATCTAAGGTTACCAAGAGAAAGATCATTACTTACCAGTGCATTTTTCCCAATGAAGACTTGTTTTCCCTGACCTGGTTCAAAAATGATATCACCTTCTTCACCAGCTTTTAAAACCAGGCTGCCATCTTTAGTAACTATTTTTGGAGGATTCCTAAGACAGTGAACGAAATGAAGAAAAGTCACATCTATTATAATAAACAAGATTGTGCCCTGGAGATTAAGTTATGTGGAAACAACAGTAATTTGTCTGTATTTTTTTCCCACACTGTGCGGGCATATCTATTTCTTACTGGTATGAGGAGAGTTTTTTTTGTCCTTTTTCGCTTTAGCCTTCATCCACTCGACCACTTTCCTAATAGTACATTCCTCACTGTTCTGAATGACTACGAAAAGTTTCCGTTCACAGTTGTGTGGTTCCATTGACTGAAAGAGCAAGCTACATGTAGTACGATAGGAAGTTATCATGTTAATAAATATGGAGTTTGTGAACAACGCTATTCTGATCATGAACGCCCACTTCGTTTATTATGCGTCAAGGTAAACGAAGATTTGCATAATACTTAACCTACTTAAACCTGCAATTAGCTACAACAGTACACCTGGCACAAAGCAGACAAAGCTGTCTGTAGATCTCAAGAGCAGGCGTCATTCACATGTCATACAAGTGAAATCTTAACTTACCTTTCGTTGTTTTCTGCCAAACAACAGAGTGCCATGTAAACAAATACGAGAGGGAAAAGTTTATTAGCCATAATCGCGACCGATTTTAGCTCTATTTGTAACAGACAGCTGCAATCCAGGGGCGTTCTTACGGTATTTCGTTTTCACAGCAGGAAACACGAAATTTGACCTGTCCCCACTGGCAAAGATTGACAGGTCAAAAAGGATTAAAGGATATCCTCCGAGACATCTCCGCTTCCAAAATAAACAAGTCAGGATTTTTTGAGCTGCCAAATGAACTGTACGATGGTTTACTTTGGCACAATTAGAGAATTATATTCGGGTGGATAGATAACAGACATTCTCGCGCGCAATTCGCGTGCAAAGAAGCCCCAAATTGATGCGGGAACGAAATTGCGTGACTTCGGCTACCAAGGATAGGAATTCGCAAATAAATAAAAATATTTTCGTCATGCCGCAAGATTCCGGTATGAAAACTACTGCAGCTGAGATTTGAGTGCGCTTATATCCGTGGGGCCTTGTATTTGACAGAGGAAGGAGGAGGGGAGAGCGCCACATAAAATAAGAAAAAACTCGTAAACTAAAGTTATGTTCTTTATTGCAATATGAAAAAAAAATCCAAAACCAGCAACTACGCTGAACTTGTCACTGCTGGTCTCACTCTTAGTTCTAATTCACAAGGATATAAAATGCTCTCCAACTAGCAAGACTGAAACTTTGTGAATGTGTGTTGCATGTGAACTGAAGCAAAATGGATAAATCTTCAAAGGATTCTACATACCATAGTAATCAGTTTAGTTTGTTCTCTCTTAGTAAAAAACATTTCACTTTTCTTCCGCAGAAAATCACAGGAGCTTAAAGGATGTAGTAATTTAGTCATTACATACAAAGTTGCATTCATGCAAAAAGTGGTTTGAATACCAGGTACTGATCAGGAAATGATCCCTCACTCCTATGCAAAAAAATTAATTTTTACAGGTTTTGGACAGATAGACAGATGTGTCCTAGAGCATTTGATCTCCTCTAGCAAAATGATTAGGCCATGATAAGGACATATTCAACATTTGTGAATCACTCTCTCTTTTTCTGCTTTGGTGGAGCCTCTGCTAACAGTGTTATGAAATTGATTACAAGCAGGATTGAGGAAACTGCTCCAGGTATAAAAACAACAGCAGGTTTTCCCAGCCAATAGAGTCCCTGCATTATCATTGCCATGATGATTAAAAGAATTACTATGCCTAAAAACTTTAAAGGCCTTGGTGCAGAATACAGAACAAGAGCACAGATTACTTCCAGGTAGCCAATAACCAGACAATACATGTCTGAGTTTACATCATGATGAAACCACACCTTCAAAGGATTTACCTTTGCCAGGTCAGCAAAATCACGTTTCTGGTGAGTTGAAAGAAAACACTGTCATAAATACCATGTTCTCCAAAGAAACATAACAACTAACCCATTAGAGGCATTCCAGAAGATTAATGACCCTACCCCCCAATTTGATATCTCTTTGAGCCACCTGAATTGGAGTTAATGAGGTGATTTGGTCTGACCAACTGAGTTGATAACGTAACTTAGCCGCTGTTGAGAGTTTCAAACCTGCCATTTTGAGCATTAGCCCTTCATCAGAGCAAATGAAGTTATTTCATTTAAAGTTACCTGAATTGGGCTGCAAAGGGTTTATACATGACAAAAGGTTTAATGTTAGAGCTAGGGACATGTGACATGTGATTTTACAGGATTAAAAGATAAGGTGCAATCAGAAGTTTTCCTTTTAAAATGAGTGGCGCATGAAAAACTGTGTGAATGTCAGCTGTAAATTCAAGCGTGAAACAGGATCAAGACCCCCCCTCCTGCTGTTTGCTAATCCTGATTACTGATTTTTTTAAACATTTGACATGAAAACCCTGCATGATTAAGAGAACCAGTTATGTGTAATCAAGAAAAAGAGGGGTGAACAACAAAGCGTGTACATTAAACACAAGCTGAAGAAGTAATACGCTTTGTATTTTGCAAGGGTTAAGTTTAATTAATGTAAACAAACGAAAAGCGATATCAGAAATCAGTTATTCACTGCTAAATATCAACTTGTACTCTTGTGTAAGTTTTGGAAACAACAGACTTCCACGATAGCAAAACTGCTCCTGAAGAGCTGGTATAGTGCTTATCAAAATCAAAACAACTCAAGGGGATTGTCTGAGATTCGCGTGATCGCTGTTCGGGTCGTGGAATAACAATTTTAATTAATGAAAGCAGAAAGGGCTACTCAACATCAACAAGACGGTAAAGACGAGGTTAAGTGGTAAATTAATACGTAGCAATAAAACAAGAAGACATTAAAGCATAAGGTGTGAGTTTTAACTAAACTGTATTCCCTGTAAACGCAAGATAACTTAAATTTTAACAATCAGCACCTGAAACTTAAGGATCGAGCCTGCTTACCATTTGGTGGTGGACTTTAGGAGAAAGTTTGTCTGTGATTTTCGCGATGCCTGCGAGGCAGAAAGCAATCACAAGAAGCCCCGTGACAGTTTTCTTAATAATTTGACTGACCATGTCTTCGCACGATGTTATACCAAGACCAAAGTGCAAATACTGAACGACTAAGCCGCGACCAGGGAAGAACCGTCACGTGACGTCAGCTCGCGCACAAATAGAGGCTCGTCGGAAAGAGGTTTGAAAGGTTTCTTGCCAAGTTCACTGTTCTTTTCAACTTGCAACACAGGAGTAAGCACAAGCAAGAGTGTAATGTAAATTAAGTTGTAACTTCCAAATTGAGATCCAGCTCTCCCACGGTTCCCTCACCCAGATGAGGCCCATAGTACTTTTTGCACTCGATACGGTGGATAGCTCGTTGCGTGACATTTTGGGGGAAAAAAGGTAAATTCAGACGAATCTGGTGCTACACGTTCAAGATTAAACATTTAAAATCGATCGCACCATAGGTAAATACAAATTAAAGAGCTGAAAATGTTTTCCCTTCTCCCTCCCCTCCCATTCTCATCCCCTCATCTCATCATCCTTACCCTGATTCAAATTCTTACACCGTTCTTAAAATAATCAAATTGGCTCAACTAGGAGGTCTAGGTACCTTCAAGAAAACATTTTATCATTACATTTGGTTCACAAAATTCACAACACAACTTCAAATACATTGTGCCTCAGATGATGGTAAACCAAGACAAACAATGTTTATTTCAGTGGCATTCATATCTGCTTTCATAAATTAACTCTACCCAAATTGGTCACAAATCCTACTAGTAGTATCATTAATCTAGATATTACAATAATTGTGAACATAAGAATGCATTCAACATCATCAGGCATAATGTATGCCAAACTGGAAGCACCAAAGTATAATAGTCAATTCCTCATAAAAACTGTCCAACTGTGCATTATATTTACAAATCAACAATTTGATAGACAACCAAACTGAAGCTTACCACAGGTACTGTATTCTTGCTGATTAAAATAATTGATTCCTGTTACTTAAATTTGTTTCTCCAGTCTTGAAGAGCAGGTGAAATTGAGCCTTAAATAATCTCTGCTCACTAAAAATTGGTTGAGCAACATAGAAGACCACTACTAGATGGAAGATCATTATCACAACAGTGTCCATGCAAAATAACACGAGATACATGGTGATGCAATATGTTAGCAAATATTTTTAATAAAATCATGTAATAAAGACACACAGCAACAGGCAAATAAGAGGACAAAGTTGTCAATGGTTTTTGTTTTTCAATATTTTGTACAATTGAATTAAAAGAAAATGGAAGTTCCCCATTCTTCAATTTCGGGCTTGTCAAAGATAAGAGCTGCTGTTCTGAATTCCAAACTCTAACACCCTCCACGCAGATCTGTGATCCAATATGCTCTGATCACGACACAGTGCCCACACATAGCTTACATTTTCAATGTTATCCTACAAAAAGAGAAACAACAATCAATAATTTATACCCTACACCAAATAAAACCTTATGAATATTTCCACTCCTCACTTTCAACTTTTACTTACTAGATCCATCAACAGATACCCCTTGAGAGACTTCGATGCACAGCTTGTGCTTGTAATGCCACTATAGACAATGAAACTGTTTAAGAAAGATTTCTTACCTCACCACCTTCAATAATATTGCCAACAGCATCTTTAAGGATCATTATTTGCTGAACCATAAAGGTGAGAACTAAGACTGGTCCTTGCTCCATGACTTTGGCCATTGCCACCTAAGAATGTAATGTAGAGTTACGATTATCAGGGCTTTGCTTCTTGGTAAAATACTCATCTTCATCAATCTCTCAGCCACAGACATATTAACAACTAAACATGTCACTAGAGTAACAAAATTGACACACACTTCACCACTTACATCAACATCTCTGACATCAAGGATTTTTGCTTCCAATTTCTGTCCCAGTTGTTTAGTTTGCTCAATCTGTGCAGCTAAGACATTGTACGCCTGGACAAAAAACAAAATTTTCTTAGGTTTTAGACTTCTTTGAGACACCTAACAGTATACAAAGGGCGTTTTAATTGCTGCAAGTATGATTGCTCAGAATTCAGAACAAAGGCTTAGTTTTACAGTGTCATAAAATTATCATCTACTACAGTTTTTATCCGAGGAGTTGATAAATAACTTACCGGTTCATGGCACCAGTCTTTTAATATTTCCAGGTCACCTTTTAAGAAAGCCTTGGAAACAAAAGAGATAAAACAATATTTTTTATAATTGTATGTAAAAATATGACATGAAACCATGTTTATAAGCAAGTAACACATTTTCTCACTACAAAAGCCATCTGATCAATTACCTCAAGAACTGATGGAATGATTTCAAATTCACACTCTTTTAGGAAGCTGTCTTTGTTAAACTGTGGATCAATTCTTGTTATTTCAGCCATTGTTTTTGCTGTATCCGACTGGGAAAATACATCACCTGAAAAATTAGGAAATTATTGAGAACTTATTAAAAACATGAAAACTTTACTATTTAAAGTTGCTATTAATACAATTTATCTTTGTTATTATCCACATGAAAACTATTCAAAATCAATCAGTACCATCATGATCCTTATCCTAGTCATAACCATCAATACTTCTTTAAAATTTTTTGTTACTAATTCTGGTGCAACATCATTTGAACAGAAGGAGAGAGAAAGTATTCACTGGCTAACAAGCCTTCTTTACTATGCACTTTTCCTTTGTGGACAAGTGTGTTAATACTGTTTACTTACTAAAAATGTCTTGCAGCTTATCTGTCACAACTCTTGATGCTCTCACAGCCACATTGTCACTTTCATCATATTTTGTTTTAAGATTAAAAAGCCCTGATGAGAGACCAATAATATAATCACATTATATTTGACAGCTTAAAAATCTCAACACTACATCATGAGGAGGTATGAAGGATGTTACCTGTCACAACAGGATTGTTGTCTTTAAATTCTTTCCACTGCTGGTACCATTTTGAATCCTTGTGAAGCACCACTCCTGTTGCATCCCTGCAAGGTATGACAATTGTTATTAGTAATTACCATTATTAATAACAATAATCATCTGTTTTTTATAGATGCCACTGCAAAAGAAACACACCAACTTTCACAACAGCTTGTTCCTTAGTTTGATCATCTCTGTAAATTGTTGTATGGAAATTAAATGGAAGTTTCATGTAAAAAACCAAATAATATTTGATCAAATTGTGTTTTCAACAGCTGCCTATGAATACATAGATACCTACTCATTTGCTTCAATTCTCCTCTCTTTCTTCATGACACCTCCTTCTTCCTGTTCAGTACGCCGTCTTAGTTTCTCTTAATAATCCATGAAAAAATACATATAAATATTAGTCATATGAATATTACCCCAAAAAGAAAGAAAAAAGGTGTATGTACACAGCACAGTCTGCCAAGCTTCATCAGCTTGACCAGTGCACTGATTACAAAGATAGCATAGTTTCTCAAACCTGGTGTTCTATATGGCTTTGATTTTTCAAGTTCTTCATCAAGAACCTCATGCTTGAAAGTTTTAAAACCCTGCAAAAAGGTGAGAAAGATTTGACAGAGGCAAATACTGAAATAACAGCAAGTTAAAGATAAATTTTAAGTTCATCTAAATTTCCAAACAAGGTTATCCCTGAAGTAATATTCTGAGGTTTTTAAGCCATCTCACCAAAAAGAGTCACAAATTACAGAAAGTGGTACAGTACTTTATATTATGAGAAGTAAATCCCTCTGAAGACAATAAAACTGCTACCTATGCAGTTTACTCACAGTGGACACAGCCTTAAATGCTTCTGTTTTTCCAAGGATTTCACTCTGTTCTTGGACCTTTGAAGCAGCTTCCTTAGCAGATTTTGCAAACTAAAAAACAAGAACCATATATTACAATCATATACAAGATTCTTGCTCCAATCATGTCTGGTTTGGTACCTGCTTATTCAAATGGTCAGTGAATCTGTCAGTTGGTCAGTCTGCCTAACAATCACTCAAAATGTTGCTCACTAATAAGCACGCCTCTGACTGATGATCAATCATTTCTAGTATTTCCAGTTATTGTGGTTGTTGTTTTTCCTTTTTACTCCACATACCTCTTCAGTGACCTCAATTCCCTTTTTAAATGCTTCACTTGATGTTGCTTCATCGTATGCCTGACGAAACCAATTTTAACACTTAGATCATTTTTATATACACATTATTAAATAACTTATTAAATGATGAGACATTTCTCTAGGTAACAACACATATCAAGTTGAACCAACGAATTCTCTCTAATCAAACCCTGCCAATAAATACACACTGGTGTACAAACAAACCTTTGAGACTTTTGTTGAAAATGCTCCTGAAAAGCTCTTCACAACTGCTGAAGTTTTCATTGATGCCGATGACACATTATCCTAGGAATGACAAATGCCACACATTCTTGTCATCACATTCAACTTTTTATAGATTGCATAATGTAATATAGTAAAAAGGTTGAACCTTTAAGTAACAGTTACTTTTATCACATAAACAATGACTTCTTAGCTGGTAGATGGATAGTCAGTCAGAGCATCATGAACAGTGCTCTTAAGGACTACCCTTATTCAGATTACCTTACAATGGAGCTGTAAATTACATTTAGGTTACTTCAAGTGGTGCAGTTTGTGGCATACTCCTCTGTTTAAAAAGTACACCTCAAGACTCACCTTAATCTTATTGACAAGCTTGACTCTCCCTGACAATGTCTCTGTCTGCTCATATTTTTTTGTTTCTGCTTGAAATTTTCTAATATTTTCCTACACGATGAAAAAAAACTCAATCTTTCATTTTCGTCTTAAGTAATATTCACTGTATACAAATTTACACATTTGACACACTGAAAACAAACTCAAACTTTGAAATGATTCTTACTATATGAACATATATTTGATAACTTTGACTGAACACATTCTTTGAACAAACCTGCATTTCTTTGTTTCTCTCAAAGCCTTCCTTGATATTTTCTATAAACCTTCCAATTAACCCAGGTTGTTGGTCTGGTCTTCTGTAAGCATACCATCTGATCTGTGATGTAAAGGCATCAACACCATCATCACCTCTTTCACTCCAAGGAACAATCTTTTAGCACATTCACCAAACAGTCTTAATGCATTGTCTCGATAGAAATTAAAAATTCTCATTGACTGTCAACTGGTTAGATTAGTTCTCATATCATGTGTGTGAAATTGTCATGTCACACCAGATGTCTTGAAAAAAAACCATGAAGATTTATACAATTTACATACAACTTCAAAACCAGTCGTTCAAGACAGCAAGTAATTAATTTATCGTGAAATACCTGATGATCATAGTTATATAATCGCCTAATCTACTAGCTAGCAACGTTACACTTCCAAAGGACTGTGGCGCTAACTTAATGCGCTACAACACACAAATACTACACTGAAAAACAGTACCTGTTGAGAGTTGCATTCTCCTTGTCGAAGTCTACTTGGAAGAATGGAAGAACTCACAAGATATTGATTTGCACGTGTATCTAACAGACCAACACGCGCAAAGTTACGACAACTTTGACAGACGTACCTTCCGAGTAACATTTGCTGTAGCAAAACAAGAACCAAAAGCAGAATTTTTAGCTTATCTTCCGCTAGGGTGATGAAGCTTGTTGAGGAAAGGAGACAATCTAAGGAAATAAAACTTAAGTATTTCATCACTAACCTGCGCCATCTTTAAATTTCGTGACAACTCGAGGAAACATCGAAGCATGCGCGAATGCTCAAGTGCAACCTAATGCGGGCTCATATGCCGTAGGATTTGAGCTCGTGGCGTTGTATAAATTGCTGCTTGATCAAAAATCCCTTAAAATGAAGATCGCTGTTGAAGGTTGCTGTCATGGTGAATTGGACAAGATTTACGAAACCATTGCACACCTGGAAAAGAAGGAAGACATCAAAGTTGACCTGCTGTTGTGCTGTGGAGATTTTCAAGCTGTTCGTAATGAAGATGATCTTTCTTGCATGGCAGTCCCTCCAAAGTATCGGCATATGCAAACATTTTACAAGTACTATTCCGGAGAGAAGAAGGCCCCTGTACTTACAATCTTCATAGGAGGGAATCATGAGGCTGCCAATCATTTGTGGGAACTACCTTATGGAGGGTGGGTAGCCCCAAATATCTACTATCTGGGGTATGCTGGGGTGGTCAACTTCGGTGGTATGAGAATTGGTGGTCTGTCAGGCATCTACAAAAGTCATGATTACAACAAAGGACATTTTGAGAGGCCACCATACAACGATTCCACTGTTCGCAGTGCATATCACATTAGAAGTTTTGATGTCTTCATGTTGAAACTTATTTCACAGCCAATTGATATTTTCCTGTCACATGACTGGCCTCAAGGAGTTTATCACCATGGAAACCTTCAAGAATTATACAGGTTTAAGGACTTTCTTAAACCAGAGATTGAGAGCAACACATTGGGAAGTCCTCCAGCAGCAGAGTTACTGACTTCACTGAAGCCAACATACTGGTTTTCAGCACACCTGCACACAAAGTTTCCAGCCTTAGTACCACATGAATCCCAAGAAGGATTCAAATTCACCAAGTTTCTTGCCCTTGATAAATGCCTTCCAAGACGAGAGTTTCTGCAGGTGATTGATGTTGGTCCTTCGCAAGCACCCCTAGAGCTGACTTATGATCCTGAATGGCTTGCAATAACAAAGCTTACAAGTTCCCTTAACAATTCAACACCAAGGACAACATTTATACCAAATGCAGAACAAATATCACAATACATACCTGATGGTCAGATGGTTGATGAAGTTGTTAAAACATTTGGAAGCCCACCAAAGATTACAGACAATTTTGAGATAACTACCACTCCATACAATCCAGATAAACCAAAAAAGGTTTACATGGCTCAAATACTGGCTGTTATGAACCCTCAAACTGAGACTTTTTGTGCCAAACTTGGAATTAACAATCCCTGCTGTTCTGAAAAGTCTGTTACTCCTTGCCCCAATCCCGAAGAAATAGAGCTAAGTGATGGAGATGAAAATAACTCCACCTTTCTTGGTAATCCTGATGAAATTATTGTTGATGATGATGAAGTTGATGTGACTGAAGCAGAACCCAACATTGATTCATCTGTTGTCAGTATTGTTCCAACTCCTGATGTGAACAAACTGAATCAAAACAGGTCTCTTTTGGAACTTCCAAAGCCTGTGAATATTTTCACTAAAAGTGAAGAGCACTATGCATTGTGTGAAGATGACTCTCCTCACACTGAGGGTAGAAATTGTGAGCATGAGGAGGTAACTCATGACAGTTCATGTTTAGAACCTCAAAAAAAGGTTTTGAAAATTATGAGGAGAAATCAGACACTCTACGCTTCAAATGACAATGATGAAGACAGCGATGCTTGATTCTGAAGCAGGGACATTGTCACTATTGTTATTTCATGGACTAATTTTTTAACCATTATCATTAAAACTGCACTTCTCCTTCTCCTAGCTGCTTGTGAACTATGATCTTTATGAACTTGTTATTTAATACAATAACTACTAAAACAAAAGAAAAGATGTACTACAGTAGATCATTCTGAAGAAAAATAGAACCTTCTGTCAAAATATCTTGTGAGTTGTAACTTTATTTGAAAAGTGTTGTGCAAAAATGCAACAACAGTACTGTTTATAACTTTTATCACAATGCTGCAAAAGGACCTGTACTAAGTCAGGAGACATGGCTTGAAACCTCTCTTACTCATCCTGCTCTCCAGCTTCCTTTACCAATAAGCCCTATGTCCCATCTTTTTTCACCAGACACAAAGGCCAACTGAAGTCTAATCAAGGTTCACAATTCAGTATTTTACAGATGCCAACCTGTGGAGATATGAAATCTGGAGATTTTTCCTTTATGCTACCACAGCATCAACTCAGCACCACCCCTCCCCCCAACTTTAAAAAATGGTTCCCCCCCACCCCAATAAAATGGATCTCCCTTCCCAAATTACAGAGATGGCTATGTTTGAGTGTCTGTCGAGATGTGGTTGCATGAAAATGCTGTAAGAAATGGTAAGACAAGTTTGAAAAACCAATATTGGTTTGATTTGGGTAAATCTGGGGATACAATGTTAGTCTACAGTGGAGCATAATCTTTAAAAGCTTGTTCATCCCTTTCACACAGGAGATTTGGTGAACCATATGGGAGACCGGGAGATTCACTCTGTATCCGGGAGACTCCCAGATAATGGTATTTCCTTCCCACTTCACACCCCCATGAATGTTGTATCTCTTCTCTCCCCATTCCCTTAAGCTTTGCGTGCCATTGCCCTTCCAGTTCCACTGGTCTCAAAAAAGATGTAAATGAGAAAAAGGCTCTTCATAATCTCGTCACACAGTAAAAAAAAGAATTAAATATGACAGAAATCGTCTCATTTCTAAAAGGGAAGTCAGTTTCATTGGTGGGCCCGCGTTACCCTAAACTGACTAGCGTGCGTTATCATCCGCTGAGCATGCGTTTGTTAACTTGAGACCACGCTTGAAAGCAAAATGGCGGATGTTCTTGATGTGGATGTGGAAGACAAAGGTGGTTTTTCAGAAGACGAAGGCGATGGTAAGAGCTTTTATGACATCAGAAAGAAATAATATTAAGGTTATGCGAGTTTCAAAGTAATTTTATTATGATTTGTGCTGCTTTGCAGACGGAATTCAGAGATTGAAGTCTACTGTCACAAAGCGCAAAGGAAGAGGATTCAAAGCGAGTACGTAAAGAAAAACTTTTCGATCAGTAACGTTAAGGTTTGAGCCGTGGTGAATGTCAAGTAAATCAAATAACACTTCGTAGTATTTGAGAGGTTCGATTCTGGTGCGCGATAAGCTCACTGGGACTCAGTTAAGGCGTCAAAATGTACAGTCGTTATGTCTAAGGATCGATCGAAGACCCAATCAACTGAAAGAAAACTTCCTTTTGAGGGGGAGAGAAACTGCTATTTGGCACATTGAGCCGAGATATTTTGTCCAGTACAACTCACCGCTAACACAGCCTTACTGGATTAAGGTCCATGCATTGCTGACTTATCTTGTGGTCAAATATTCCAGGTGATTCATCCTCACGTGCCCAAGAACAGTATGAATCCATGGAAACTGATGAGGCTAGTGGAACAGGCCCAGCACGATGTATGTTTTCTTTTTTTTTTAACCATATCTGATTAGTTAAATGAATTTCTAAAAGAAACTTGACTCAGCAACTGTCAACCTATCACTCCAAGTATGCATAAGAATGCTCAAAACTATGGGAACAAAATAATAAACTTATCAAATTATAAAGTTGCTTACAGAATGGGGTTTTCAATCATTTCCAACTGCACTCTGCCCTGAATGAGCAATATTAATCACATTGGAGCACTTAAAAGTTTGTGATTAGTTTGCAGAGACTTCACAGACATATGAATAGAGACATATAAAGTTTTTGATTCAGCAAACAACAAATATATCTTGTTGCTATGTTCAGTCCTGGCCCATGTTCAGCATAATTTAGAATGTTGTATATATTTTTACTTAAAATTTCTTTATCTTGGAACCTTCAACAAATATATCTAATTAAGCAAACTATGAAAAAGAAAATTAAAGGATTCTACAAGTTTGCTGTTTATTTCAGCTGTCGAAGGTTGGATTCTGTTTGTTACCAATGTTCACGAAGAAGCTCAAGAAGATGACATTCATGACTTATTCTCTGAATATGGAGAAATAAAAAATCTTCATGCCAATTTGGATAGAAGAACTGGCTTTCTGAAGGTAAATCAAAGAGTGTTATGGAGTACAAACAGTTAGTGCAATTAATCCTTTACTCTCTGATATCAATATGCATATTATAATGTCCATACTGTTTCATTTGAATTAAATTACCACTGCTTTTGCTAAGCCCCAATGTCTTGTTCAAAGAGCTGGAAACTTTCATGGGAGAATTTGGACAAATGTTGGCATGTTGATAGGGTGACAAATTATGTGCAGTGCCTTTTTGAAATCGATTTCCTTGGTTGTTTGGCTCCCCATCCTTGCCAAGCCATTGAATTACCATTTGCATTATGCATTTCCTCAGATACTGACAAGGAGAATTTCTATGAAAATCAAGAGCTTTTTTAGGTGGTGATCATTACCTATATTCTTGTGACCTATTGTGTGATTTGGGTGAAATTGGAAGGAGAAATAAGATGTTAGTCATTCTTAAAGGTTAAAAGGTTAAAACAAAAGTAGATTATTATACTCCACGTACTACTCAAATATTTTATGTCAAGAAATTTGGGTGCGAGGCTTGAAACCCCTTTTCCTTTTTTACTCTGAGATGTTAGATTCTCTAAGGATATACTTCTTTGGTAAGTTGAGTATGTCACTAACAGATGAGCTTGTTCACTGTACTGTAGGGTTATGCACTGGTGGAATACGAGACATTCAAAGAAGCCGAAGCGGCAATGGAAGCCTTGAATGGGTCAGACCTTCTGGAGCAAAAAATATCTGTGGATTGGGCATTTGTGAGAGGGCCAAGAAAATCTGCAGGGTAGATGAGTACTTTATATTTCTATGACTGTCTGTGTCTATTTCAGAGTATGAACTATTGTTAAGCTAACATGATTGGCTAAGTGCTTTTGAGCTAAACAAAAATACTCTAATTTTTCATTGTCATGTTTCTTCTATTGCACCTGCTCTCTAAGAAGGGTTTCTCATTTAGAACAAGCACATCATAGAACTGTTTTGTGAATCAAGTTGAGATCACTGTTCATGTATTCCCCAGCTAATGTCACCATTTAAGTATTAAATCCTGCATTGTATCTATTGCAATTAGTGCAAACAGTTTGTCTAGCATGCAATCAAAACCTGCAAATGGAAGACTTTTTTAAGGCTTTGGACTGTTTTTCCAAAATGTATTCTGTTTCAACTCATTGAACAATGTTTTTTGACAAAAGTTGTTACCCTTCCCCACCCCCAAATTTAGTCTGCCCTGTTTATCAGTGAGCCTAAAACCTTTTACAAGGTTATATAGACCGTTTTTGTTTTGTCAGGTATGATAATTATTCTCTGAGGTGCTTGCAGAAGTACTTGTAGCCAAGGAAGGCTAATTTATATGCATATGAGTCAATAGCAATCAGCGCTAGGATTGATGAAATACATTGCAAAATTCAGAATATATAACTAGATTTTAAGGGATATATCAAAGTGTCTCTCAAGCTTACTTACTCCTGATGTATTGTTCTTTTTGTAGATCTGGGAGAAGGAGAGACACAAGAAGATACTAGACCATTGTTTAATTTTCACCTAAAGTACTGATTAGTTTGTTTTTCTTCTCATGTGTTTTGTAACAAATGTATCAACTGTACACATATGATTCTCACGTTACTACTGAGTAGGGATATTGATTTAGAGTTGCACATCTTGATGCTTAAAATATCATCACTAAGGTACATGAACAAGGACTGAAGCTTTTTGATATCATGAAACATTATTAACTCTGTCTCACTGTGACCAAATTATAAGTTTATCCTTTAGTTATGTCTTCAACTTCGATTCTGAAGCCAGACTATGGCAGTCACAAACTAAGGTGGATAAAGAAAGTGCAGTAGAGCGCATGAAAAACAAAAGAGTCTTATGGAAACTTGTTATTCACACCCAACTGTATTTTAGCTCTGATTGCTTGTTATAAAATTGTTAAGTATCATACTGCAGTTAATTACTCTACGCATTTTATTATCTTCTGTCGTAAATCTTCTCACATAAAATATATGCTGGTTACGTAGAGATTGTAAATTACTTGGAGAATTCACTGCTTTTAGTTTTTAATAAATTTCTTGGAGTTAATTTGGGAAACTAAACTATTTGTGCAACTAAACAAAAAAGCAGACAATTTGTAAGAAAACCTTATTTCTTGCTGTTAATCTGGCCCTCGTTGATCTCATATTGAGCTCTGTAAGTTGTCCTATTTCATTTACAAAGTCGGGAGTTATTATTAGCTTTTCTATTTTCTTCATGATCGTTGATACCGTTTCCTCTAAAGCCTCCCTTATTTCCTCAGCCTTTATAGCCTTGGATGTTTCATCACATGGTGAACATTTTGAATTAGTCCAACTCGTTTGTCAACCCTGTTGCGTATGTTCTTTGGATTCCTGAGTTCAGACGAGTGTTGGGTTTGTGTTCTTTAAAAACCGCGCACCGGCGAAGAGGAATCTTACCAATAGCAGTAATAGCATGTATTTTTTCCTGGGGCTTAATCATTTAAATCCCAAGATCTGATTGTTAACTCTCCTCTTAAACTGTTACATATTTCCTTGTAAATTGATTGCGTGAATGTGGTTTTTACCTCTGTGGATTTGTCTTCCACCTCAACATCGACGTCAAAATTTCAGAGTCATTCATTATAGACATTGCGTGACACGTTGATGCAAGCAGCGATGTCTGTACTCTTATCGACAACGGCCAATTGACCAATCAGATTGGGACATTACTGCCAAATGTGTTAAAAATATAAATTTTCTTTGTGGTTTCTCCAAAATTATTTCCGTCTTGAGCAAGGCGGGTCAGAGGCAGGAGAGCTATTTCGATGTAAACGTCTTTAAGATTTAAGTACTAATTTCTCTAGCAGATGCAATGACTTAAGGGCAGTCTAATTGTCAAGTTGTCTAGTCAAACTAGTTGAGCTTGTTTTGAACTCGATAAAACAAGTTTTTGCTTAGGGTTAGGGCTACTTTGTTTTTAAGCTGAGCATAACTGAAAATTTTTAGTATCATTGCGCTTGTTCTCGTTTTCCAAAATAATGTTTCGGTTTATGCAATGTCTTCATCAAAGAGAGGGATTTTAGAGCGTCTTGATGCAAGCGAGGTTATTGTAGGAGATGGGGGCTTTTCGTTCTGTATGGAGAGAAGGGGTTATGTTAAAGCTAATTTTAAATAAGCTCAATCAAGTCCGACCGATGTATTAAAAAAAGCCGAAGTTCAAAAAGAGAAAATAAGAGAAGGCAAGTGAAGAAGGCAAGAGAAAGTAATGTTCCATCATGTTTTATTGTTACTTTTAATGATTTTCAGGGTTCGCCGATTTCATTGCCCACTAACGGTCGGCCGTTCAGTAGCACTTTGCGTGAGCTGGATTCACAATGGGGAAATCTTTTAAGATTACTTTAAAAAGTGGCAGACAAGAACTTGATTCAGCAAAAGACTCTGACTATTAACGAGGAACCACATAAGCTTGCTGCATACGCAGAAAATCACTGAACCATGAAACTAAGTGTCAGTATTCTGTTTGCATTAATTAGGGCTTTTCCCAAGTCTTACTTTCGATGTCACAGTATTGCTGAGTCAGCTTGCTAATGACGTACTGTGTGCTTGTATTTTGGTTTAAAGCTCGGAGGTGCCAAGAGACTTTTTTGGAAATTTTATTTTCTTCAGCGATAAGTTTTTGTTATCAATAGCTCTGCACCAAATTTTGCAAAACGGTTTGTCATAATCTAGGATCTGATCCAGTAAGTTACTGGGAAAGTATAATTATATTTTAGTTCGAATGGAATTCTTATTAAACCTACTTAGATACTTAGCATAAAATAATGGAAGCGATACAATGCCATGAAAGTTAGAAAGATCTTGTTGTGCATTATAAGCGCTAAAACGTGTTATCCTTGTAATGCAGGGCTTGTCGCATTCTTTGTGCACTCTTGATCGCCATTACAATGAATTGAGAATGAAAACGCTTTGATATACTAGAGTTTCAGGCGTGTTTTCCATTATTGGACTGTTGGGGTAGACCAGCTCCAACATCCGCACGCAATCGGGAGGCACCAGGAGTCTGATCAAGAACAGTTTATTTCACTCTCTGAAACTGTCTCCTTCCTCTTTCTCTTAAATTCAGCCCTAAGTATATGCTCTTAATTACCCTACTGGTAGGCATGTTTTGAATTATGGGACAACTGACCTTGGCAGAGTACACATATTTTTAGAGCGCTAACCGAAAACATCTCACAAGACATTCGAACAACAAAGTATTTGAAAAACAACCAATCTTCGAGAACTAAAACCAAATCAAAAGTTCCTGTGAGGATTCTGAGCAAGGTCAAAGACAAACCCAAACTCGACCAGCAATGACGATCATTGTACGAGAATGAAGCCTCAATACGGTCAAGGACACATCACTCAAAGGGTAAAATAAATGAGTGGCCTTGCAGCAAATAACAAACCAAGGCTCACAAGTGAGACTCGCATAAGGATTTCAAGATAGTGTAACTGGCCTAAACAATTCCTAAACATTCAGCCAGAACATTCCTTATTTAAGTAGTTACCAAACACTCGTAATTTTAGTAGTTCATGATACGATGTTATTTGCGCGCATAAATGTTTTTGTAGGAATGATATTTGTCTCTTATTTTTTTTTTTACCCAAACACTAATGACAGAGGTCCGTGTGACCTCTTGACGTAAGGAAATTGAAATCCAAGATGACTTTAACTCGGGTAAATTCAGGTAAATAACTATTTTATGTGAGTTTCCGTGAATGATTATATTTTCCTTGCATTTTCTCGCTCACAAAACATTTACGTTCGTCTAGACAAACCACCGCATGAAATTCTGGCTGAATAAAAAAGAAATGGACCTTATTCTACTTGGAGAACGAGTCGAGTATCAAGTTTTTTTATACTAAATAGATATTTTCTCTGATGCCTGTCATTCCGCGTTTTATGTTACTCCACCACTCTGTCATTCCGTCGAATAGGGTCACCTCTTCCGATACTTAACGCTCTCGTGGAGGAACATAATGGTATTTTCGAATGATAACGATTTTATGCTTAGCTGGAAGATAGGAAAGTGTACCTCTCATGCTAAGCAGGATTGAAGTGGGTTTCGCGTAAATGATAGCCCACTAAGTATGGCCAAATAGCGCCGACGCGAAGGAGGGAGGAGAAGATTATTTCAAAGGGGTGAAAGCTTGATCCTTTGATGTTATCGATTTTTCCGTTGCACGTTCACTAACTACTGATGAGATAAATGTTTCAACGCAATAAACCATCATTTTCCTTTAAATCAAATAAATCATAGGGACTATAACATGTTTGTTCACATTGATTAACAGTTCATTTTTAATATTACTAATTAAATTTTGGAAATCTGAATATTGTTTTTTCAATTGACTCAGGTTGCTGCGTTGCGCTTCATGTTAAGTTTCATGACCAAATCCTAAACATATCTGTCCACATTGATTTGCTGGTTGACGTGACACAGAAAAGACACAAAGGCGTAAAAAACATTTAGCCATTATTATTAAGTTTAACTTTTATTTTTGTGGTTTCTTTCCTTTCTAAAAGTATGTTGTCTCCAAAGTTATGATGCCTTCAGGCAAGGTGACTCAGAGGGAAGAAGTTCTCTGAATATGTATGAGTTTTACTCGCTTAACAACGTTTTGAAATCACTATCAATATTTTTGGTGCAAATGTTAAAGATGCAGCGAACAATCTGGTTTACATCTGGTCAAACTAGTTGCAACTTGTTTTGAACCTGGAAAAACATGAGGCTTTGATTAGCTACAAATTTTTTTTTTCATCTTGCGCTTGTTTACTTGAAGCGTAAGAACACGTTTTCCCAAGTAACAGTTCATTTTATGCAATGTCTTCATCAAAGCGAGGGATTTTAGAGCGTCTTGACTCCGGCGAGGTTATTGTAGGAGATGGGGGCTTTTTGTTCTGTATGGAGAGAAGGGGCTATGTTAAAGCGGGAGTGTGGACACCAGAAGCTACAGTAGAGCATCCAGAAGCAGGTAAGATCTATTCCTTCTGTTTTCGAGGATTGATCGTATGTGTCGAATCAATTTCAACACAATGCCCTATTTGCATATGTATAGTGGAAACCTAACTTTAAAATGCGACCAGCGTCGATCTCAGACACCACATTTCATCACCACATACAATCAGGAGTGCGTTGCAGTGAGTATAGGAGGTGAAAAACATAATCACTTGCGAAAAAATAAGAAACATCAAAGGTTTGATCTAAAGTGACCTTATAAGTAGAGGGAGAGGGTCCTTAAATATAGTAACTGATAATTCGAACCCTGTCTAAATAACATGGATCTCCCGAATTTGTTTCGGAAATTTAACTCCTCTCTTGGTGATGTTACGTGGTACCCCTTAAATCCTCAAGAATAACTTAGCGGCCCCTTCTTGTCAGGCAATTCATCAGTGGATGAATTTAAACTGAAGGGACAAAAAGTGTGAATGACCCCACCAGTTGAACTATAATTTGCATAATGCATGTAGTTGTTTACATTGACTAGACCCAGTGAACAGGGTAACTGGGATACCTCGATGGTACTGGATCCTTGGAATCAAGTGTAGTGATACTATGGGTGTCGGACTAGTATACTGAAATAGTGAGCTCAAGTCTGGCTAAGGCATACACCTATTTCAAAACACAGGCATGCTCTGCATGCAAGAGTTATTTTTTGTAGGGTGGGTGGATTACTTGAAACATTGTTAGTGGTCTACATTCTTACAAAAGGAAAGAAGAGTATTAACGCGGAAAAGAACGAAAATGTCGAATTACCTCACACACAGGTATTTTATGTAAATTATGTGTGTTGCGCGAATAAATGTCACCATAAATAAACTGTATTGGTGCCACGGATACCTGTTACTACAAAATGCAGACAGCAGACTGCAGACCGGATACAAAATATAGACTGCAGACTGCAGAGTGGGTACAAAATGCAGACGGAGAATCTGAAGAGTTTTTACGTCTGGTATATAATAACATGTCATCTTGCAGCTTACCGAGCGTCACGCAATCGCTTTTCCGCGATCAGCCTTCACCATTAT